GCTGGCTTTCCCAATGAGCAACCCCAGACAGAGCAGGGAGGCAGCAATGGCCCTTATTAACAGAAGCAACACACTTCCACTTCCATATTCTATTTGTTGGAAAGGTGTCACTAAATCTAACTCACACTCAAAGGGAGGGCAAAGAAGTTCCACCTTGTAATTAATTCATTTTTATGTTTGAAATAGTAGTTTATTTGCTTTTTCCTTTTATTTGAATTTATTGGGGCTCCACCTTTTAGAGAGAACCATGTCAAAAAATTTGTGGATAGATTTTAGAACCACCACAGACACCAGAAACATTCTTTCCTTATCTGTTAACAACTTATCAGGGTTCAATATACCTTCCATTATTTTCAAATTAATATTTTAAATCAACAAGATAAAAATCTGTCAGATATCCAGGCAGAGAATTCAAATATATCAATTTCTCAGGCCCGGAGCAGCAGCAGCCAGGCCCAGAGCGGCAACAGCTGGGCCCAGAGCTGTCAGGCTGGGAGCGGCCAGGCCAGAAGCATCCAGGCCCGGAGCATCCGGGCCCGAAACGGCCAGGTTGGGAGCAACCAGGCCCGGAGCAGCAGCATCCCGGAGCAGCAGCAGCCAGACCTAGAGCAGCTGGTTGTGGAACGGACCAGAGCAACAGAGGCCAGGCCCGAGGCAGCCAGGCCCAAAACAGCTCGCTCCTCACCTGCACATGCTCCAGGACTGCTTCTCAGACATGGCTGGAAACTTTTGGGGGAACTTGAGAGTCTGCTGAATCAAGTGATGAAGGCTTAGATCTGGATGTGTTGAGTTATTATAGCACTGGGGTGTTGATCTGTGAGTGCCTGGATGAGGTTGGTTGATCTATTTGGAAGTGTCTTTTGTGTGAAGTGTATCCTTGGGCATGTGGAGGTATTGATTTGAGAAAATACTAAGTAATTGATTTACTACCTGAAAAATGTAAAGTTCTGAAAGTTTAAGGTCTCTTTCCAAAAAGAGGTTTTAAAGCTAACACCTTAATTTCAATGGAGAAAGGGGAAAACAAGCTCTTCCCACCCAGAACAGGTAATCCAATTCCAGCAAGCATCTATCTTTAAACAATGTGTTCATTTACATTTGAATGGCTACTCCTTTTGATAGCCTAAGGGCAAGTTTACATGTAAACAAGTTTGCTTCTCAGTTCCCAGGGCAGAAAAAAACAAGGTTTAAAATTATTAGATTTTAAAATTTATTCTTAAAAATATAAAATTTTATTAATTAAAAAAAGGGAAATTAAAAAACCTGATGAACAATATTAACTGTTGATTATAATAGAATCAGAGATACGGGAGGGGAGTGGACTGACAGTTCTCGGGGAAAAGGGGAGTGGTGGATTCAGGAAGAGACTGAACATAAACTGTGCACCTATGGATGAGGACAATGTGGGGTGCAGAAAGGGCAGAGGGTGGGGTGGGAACCTGGTGGAGGGGGGAAGAAATGAGTAACCTTTGTAATAATATGAACAATAAAGATTGATTTAAAATAAATAAATAAATAAATAAATAAATAAATAAATAAATAAATTTCAGACCTTTCAGGAAGGCTGGAGTGTTGCAAACACTACTGTCAGAGGCTAACAGTATATGTAGGCAGATTTATCCTCAGGATGTGCTAAGAGTATTATTGGGAGATTATTTTCTTATTGGGAGATTTTGTCCAAATTTGAGTTCACTGATCTAATGAGGCCAACACCTAGATTTTTCAGTGTTTCCTCTTTCCCTCTGTTCTGATTTTTGGTTGAGTTGTACCAAATAATAGGGTGTAGCAACATATTTTTGCCTGTCTGTTTTTAAATTTTTATTTTATGATGGTGCAGCCAAAAGAAGATAGAAGTGATCTTTTCATTATTTTCCCTTCTGGTGAATGCAGAGGAAATCCCATCTCCTTTATAGAAACATAAGGAATGGGACAAAATTATTACCCTCCACTATTGATGTCTACACAGAGATTCCACCTGTTTTCCCGAAGTAAACTCTTCTCTTCACCAGAGCCGTGAACATTTTCAGCCTAGAATTTTAAAAGATCATGGTTTGGAAATTCGTATTCTGTAATTTATTATACAACTGATTTCTGAAAGAACACAATGTGTGGCAGTGCTGATTTTAAAAGGGAGTATGGTTTGGATTTGAGATTTTTAACCTGTTGGTCAGTCATTTTTTACTTTAATTATTTTTTCTCATTAAAATAATTGAACTTAAAAAAACCCCAAATATATCAATTTCTGGAATGGTAGGTCAATTTATTGTTCCATGTATTTTTACATTCACTGGTTGATTCTTATACATGCCCTGACAAGGGATCAAACCTACAATCTTAGTAAACTGGAATAACACTCTAAGCAACTCAGCTATCTGGCCAGGGCTTTCCTTTATTTATTTATTTTTAAACAATGGAGCTTATTTTTTAAATAGCTCAATGTAGATTCCTCTCCAGCCCCACCCCACCATCCACATGTGCAGTTGGCATGAAATAAACAAAAGTAATATCTTCAGTAAAAACTTGATGATTTATAAAGATAAGAAGTACAAGTCTCCCTCCTGGTTTCTGCCTACCAATTGCACCCCTGACAGACATTCAAACACAATGACAGACAGACCCTTTCCTCAGCAGTAACCACATATGTCTGCCTTCATCAAAAACAAACATGAATGCCTATAAACACATATCATTTAGGGAACACAGACACATGGAATTTATCCGTTCCTCAGTCACCAGTTTGCACTTTAATACACAGGGTTTTGGTGGGTATTTTTATTTGTTTTTGTTCTCATCTCCCTTTAAATTCTGAAAATTAAGCTAAAAAATAAAACCTTCCCAAATTCTACTTCCTAGGTATTCTTTACCTTTGTGTTAAAAACAAAAAGGCTACCAAGAGTATCCCAACTTCTAATATTGATGAATTTCCTAACTAAAGAGAGCAAAAACAGTAACTCTTTTCTTACAAAACTTTGGCTTTTTAATGTAGTCTTCCGAAGGATGTGTTTTCTGCACAATTTAATTCAAATTTAATGGAATAACTAGGAGTACAAGGTGAGAGCCAGCCCCTACCAAGGAAGAGCTTAGTGCTTGTATGTTAAAGGGAGGGAGGCAGATGGGAGAGGAGCAAGTACTGTAAAATAAATCACTAACGCTGAAGAAGAGGCTGGGACCAGGCCCAGTTACATGAAAAGGACAGCAAAGTGCTCACCACTGACCGGTGGAAACAAACTCGCACTCCTGTGTGCTTCCCAGCTTCCTCCCTGCTTCCTTCTATGGCCACCTTCCTCCCTGACACTACGCTGTCTGGGCTTAAATGCTTCCAAATGACTGTGATCGCTCCTAGCGGACTTGGATTAGAATAACAGTGCCAAAGGGCTGAAATGACAAAGAAAAGTCCAACCACAAACAGCACTTGTTATCACTGTGCAGACACATTTATGTGTGATTTTGCCTCTTCAGTTATCCTAGGGGGGGCATGAGGGTCCTGCCCAGATCCTGGAGGTAAAAAAAAAAATAAGATTCAAGTTCTGATGCTTTAAACAAGTGAGGAAGGATCCAATAAAGGTACACACTCTTCTGAAGTGAAAAACTGCCTAGTAGCTCTGGAGAATACATAAATCTCTGTTCTCTTCATGACAAAGCGGCAGTGTGACAAATAATTTTGTCGTAAGTATCATATAACAGTCATTAAAAAAAAGTCTATTCTAAATGAGCCAGAACACCAGAGAATCTAACAACTTGTTCTTCCCTCATTTCCATTGCTAGGGTCCTTGTTTAGAAACAACAGGTCCGGAGAAAGGTATAAAATGTCAGCATGTGTAATGTTTTCTCATCAAGTCAGCGTTTTATGTGAACATATTTGTGGATTTTTTTTGGAGAAGTATCTTCTTGCTTTGGGGCTGAATCTGCAAATAAGACACTCAAATCACTAGAAAAGAGAAACTATGAGAAACTGAAAAGGTTACTAAAGATAGTGTTAGGTTATTCTAATTATTTGAAAAGTCTGTTAGTAAATAGCTAGTATATTGCTTCTTGCTTCAAAATGTAATAATTTTGGATGTGAAAGTTACCCATCTCAGATGAAAATTCTGGACCACGTTAACATTGAATAGAATATTTATTGTGACTTTTTCCCCTGTGATACAAGATTTATTTTTCCGAGCTCTCCAAATGACACAGTTGCAGAACCTCTTTCAGCTGGTCTTGCCTAAAATTAATGAGAAAGATTAAAGACATCAGAAATAGATAAATATGTAGTCCTAATGAACCCCTTCAAGCTATTAAACATCCCCCACCCTAAGTAAATAAATAATAAACAGCAAATGGAAACATAAGCCCACATAAAGTGATTGGTCTTACTGTTACCTGTGAATCATGATATTTCCATCCTATCATGTAATAGATCTGATATGTGGCAGGCACCGAACCATCCTCATTTCTATACATTTCTATAAAGACAAACATTGGTTAAACTCTGAAAAAATGCCAGTAGGGAAAATAATCTGCTCAACAAAAGTCATATCCTCCAAAGAGAATGGATATTAGGAACTTGTGGGATTCTAAAAATGCCTCCACACCGGAGAAACTGACAGTAGGGGAGGAGTAAGGACTGTTTGGAAAGGGATATGGAGACACGGGATCTGAGTTTGGAAGGGAGGACAAGAAATCTGATGGTGCCCAGCCGGGGTGGTTCAGTGGTTGAGCATTGACCTATGGACCAGTAAGTGACGGTTGATTCCCAGTCAGGTCACATGCCTGAACTGCAGGCTTGCTCCCCAGTGTGGTGTGTGCAAGAGGCAGCCAATCAATGATTCTCTTTCATCACTGATGTTTCTGTTTCTCTCTCCTCCTCCCTTTCTCTCTGAAATAAAAAAAAAATATATTAAAAGAAAAAAATAATAAATCTGATGGTACTTAACAGGAAAGGAAAAAGCATTAAGGGATAAAGATGACCGGGCACATTTCTCAGTGAGTCCCGGGGGGGAAGGGCCGGCTCCCTTACCTTGGTACACCGCCGCAGCCGCCAGCATCGTGTCTCGGTGCAGGAGAGCTTTTCTATTCCAGGCACAGTTACTCTCACCCATTCCTAAAAATACACTACAGGCAGTTGGAGATAATACAGCAAAAACCCTGAGCAGCTTAATCAATACCACAGATTTACTCTTGTCTCCTCCAACAGCATACCATGCTGTAAGTCACGTAAAACATCCTAAATAATCTCATTTTGCTTTCCGAATGTAGTAAGGCTTCTAAGTGACTCTAAGGCAAAACTACCTAGAGTGTCTGGGTATTAAGACAGTGAAGAAGTCACATTTCAGGAGGTTAGCCCCTGAAATACTTTACTTGCCAGAAATGGTGTAAAGTGAGCCGGTAGGGCCCTAGCTGGGGGGCTAGTCGAAGTATTGTCCCATACACCAAAAGGTTTCCGGTTGTGGTTCAATCCCTGGTCCAGGCACGAATGGGAGGCAAGTTTCAATGTTTCTCTCTCTCTCTATTTCTCTCGCTCTTTCTCTTTCTCTCTCAGCCCTCCTCTCTCTAAAATCAATAAACATATCTTTGGGGGAGGATTAAATAAATAAGCAAATAAATAAATAGATAAAGTAAGTAAGCCAGTTGGGCAAAAAGCAAAGTGAGTGGCCCTCCCAGTGAGTCATTAGGAGCTGCCAACTGCCTTTTGAAGGATGCCACATTTTATGCCCCTTTGAGCTGCTGTTCAAAGGAGGACAGGACACTGTTACGATGCCTCACCCCTTCTAAGCCATAAATGTAATATGCTCATGAAACCTGGAAAAGGGCTCCGAGACTTGTTAGATAATACCAAAGCTAATGTGTTTTCAGATCTTACAACACTTTGCTAGTCCTGAATTAGAAAAAAAAATTAGGTGCATTCTTTTCAGGGGCATTTTCCTTAATGTTTTAAAATTCACTTTTAGATTTCTTTCTTTCAAGTTGCTAGCTAAAAGCTACATTTGGGTTTTCCTAATGCATTTACTTAAATAAAATTACTTTATAAGGCTACATTTTAAACTAGTCCTCAATATTAAAAGGATTTCAAAAGCAAAATCCTTTATATTTATTCTCTATCTACTACATGACTAGAAATCAGTTTCTTGGTTTTGTTTTTCTACATTCAAAAAGAAACCAATAAACTTTTCAACATCAATGCTCTTTATTAGTTTAAAAATAATATTCCAAGTTTTCAATGCTCTGATTGAAAACAATCAACAAATTTGCTGTACTAAATAAACCTTTTTCTTCTCTCCAACCCTTAAAAGGCTCCTATTATTCCCTAAATCATGAATCTCAATACTAAAAGCAATGCCCCAAATCCTGTGAATACAAGAACCTAATTCATGAAGAACAACAAACAAACCAGCGGATTAATCACCAGAAAGAAAAATGTGTATCTCAGTCTTGCAGTCATGACCCAGCTAGATGATCTGAGCAATGGCTCTGGGTCTTTTAAGGTAGTCTAGGATCTCCCAGGCTCCCAATGCTGACATTTTGGACCCATTACATAATCTAATTTTTAAAACATTCTCTTTATATAATGATTAGCAACTATAGGTAAACTGAAAGAGTCTATTGCTGATAATGGTTGTGGTTTCCATGACGGATGATGATTAGATAACAGGCAGCACCTGTGAAAAACAGGTTTCACTTTTTAAATGTAAATATTTAATGCATTTCTGAGAAATGCCTTCTAACTAACTGTTATTGGGATCTGCTAATTGAGATCACTAGGCATAATGCTCTGTCTGATACAGGAATGCAAGAGCACCAATATGCAGCATGGTCAGCAACTGTGCTGCCAGGGCAGTCCACCCCTCATAGGGACGGGCACAGCCACCCTGACCTCCCTCCTTGCAGAAGCGCTGTGATGGGTGCAAAGATTGAGGGATCTGACCCTCCCGTGACCTGGAGCAAAGTCATTTAATCTCTACTAAACTCAGTTTTGGGATCTTCAAAGTGGAATTATAGCACTTCCTAACACGTCCTGATGGGCCTTTACTGAAGTCTCCCTGGGAAACACATATGGGGACCCCTGAGCAGCTCTGCACTTGCGTGTAACAGAAAAATCAGGAAGGAGGTAACTGATTAAGACTCTCACAGTATTTTTAAGGTTAAGTTCAATTGTTTATTAAAAAAATCTAATGTATTCCAGTTTACTAAAAAAATTACTGAGTAATGTCTAAAAAAAATAGTAATAATAACTGAACTTACCTTAAAACTACTGTGATAGTCTCCAAAATTTTTCATGCATTCATCACTGATATACAACTTGTTTTGTAAAATTAGGTCAACATTCTTGACTTTTTTTCTGTGAATTAATAATAATGGCAGCTTGAATGACAAACACCACAACCATCAAGAAAAAAAAAAATGTATAATGCAATGTAAAATACTAAAAAACAACTTGAAGGAAGCACCATCTTCCAGCCTGCAAAGCCGCACAGCTGGAATTCTCCCACACTTCTCCCTCCTCCACTCACCCCCTGACCATTTCTTCCTGTCCCAGCTGCCTCTGACCTCTCATCAAGAGGGTAGTAAGACTTCAGGATCTGAATCAGGCTGCTACAGTGGGTTTAAACCCTGGCTCTATAATTTACTAAACACATCACCATGAGCAGGTGACTTCTCTTTGTGCCTCAATTTCCTCAGGCAGTTAACTATGGTAGCTCTGGCCTCATTTTCCTCATAAATATGCTCATAAACATAGCTGCAGGGTGAGCCTTCTGACACACTAATCTGACTGTCTTTCCTCTGTGCAAAATTCTTCCAAGATACTATCAGGCCCACCTGAGAAAATCTAGAAGCCTCTGATGGACTCCCCTGCATCATTTTCCATCATCTCCCCATTCTACATTTTCAAGCAGTACTGGGTTACTGCACAGTTCCTTAGGTGGAGAAGTGTGGGTCCTCTTACATCTCTAACTTTACACAGCCCACTTTCTTGGCTTGGAATGCAATGCCCACCCTGCCCCAAGCCTGCACCACTCTTTCATTCTCCTGGCAAGCCCATTTAGCTGAGGTACTGCCTCTTCTGCAAAAGCATCTCTGACCCCCTAAGAAGGTTTAGGGGCTTTTTCTCATTTCTCCCTGCACTGTGACAAACAATGATCTCTCTTTACAGCTAAATACAGATGTCCGTCTCTCTATAAAGCATAAGCTCCCTGACATCAGGTACTATGTATTCCCATCACTAGCTCAGTGGTTGGCACATGGTAGATGCTCAATAAATGGTTAGTGAATGAAAACAAAATCAATCAATTAATGTTTGTATCTACTTTGTTAGATATCATTTTTACAAGTTATCTTTAAATAATTCCTCTTAAACCTCTTAAGGACAGGAAATATCTAAGACTAAAACACATGATTTGTGTAAAAGACTTTACAATAAACATAGGGCATTGGCCAAACCTCTTGAAGGTAAATAAAGGACAACAGTTCCCCAAATAATGACCAATTTAAAACCCAGGCTATCAACTGGGAGGGGGTACGAGTCAACCTTCCAGTTTATAGCTTCATTTGGGTGACAGTTAAAAATACAAGCCGCTGTACACTTAAGATTAGTGCATTTTACTGAACATCCAACGTCAATTAAAAAAAACACACCATATAGATCAAATACCCAGTATAAGACTACAGATTCAAATCATAACTCCAGGCTTATTGTGATCACAGACAAGATACTTAACTTTTCAATATGCTCATCTGTAAAATTAGATACTAGGAAATCTCAAAGAACTGCACCTGGCAGAGTAAGTACTATATTTTCAAATTAGGTTAAAACCTCTTTCAACTGATATGTCTAATTCCTAGTCTCTCTTTTCTTTCTTGAAATGAATCATGAACACAGCATTTATTGTATAGCAGAACAAAAATAAATGCTGTATTTGAGAAGTACACTTATCATAACAATTTGAATGATAAATTACCAGCATACCATCATCTCTCAAGCTTTCCAGTAAAGAGGCTCAGGGATCAGGGGGAGCCAAGAGTTAGGGGCGGTGCTCAGGAGGGAGTGTGTGAGTTATGGTCGCTTCCCTGTCACATTGGGCTCTGCACGATAAGGCTGTCAAACCCTGTACTGAAGTATAATAAATAAATAATGACTGTAATAGTAAGTTTTCCACTACACATCTTTCCCCTTGTAATTCTCAAAGGAGGTTGGACAATGGCTCAAAGAGAACTGCTACGAATGAGTAGCTACGAGAAGCGGTAGAATCAGGTAAGAGAGTCCCAGTTCAAGAGTCAAGAAGGCAAGAGTTTGGCACCTAATTCTTTCACTAGGAGGCAAGTATTCTCTTTTAGGACTCCATTTTCTTATTTGTAATGCAGAGATGAAGTAGTTACCAGAGAGTGGTTGAGGGAAGCAAGTGCAATAACACTTACAAAAAATTGTAAGTCTGTAAACAAAGTATTTCTTTTTATAATCCTTTTGTTTTAAGTCACCTTAAGTTTTCAGGTCCAGATGAAGGCTCCCTGGTTTCACACAACACACTTTAATCCATACTTGTTCATGCCATTTGTATAACAAAAGAATCAAACCTCACAAATGCTCCCGGGGTTGTGGGTAAGTTGAGGCTCTCCTTTGAGAGTCACTTTTCCAGCATCCCCCAGAGGTAGATTTTTGCATATCTTGCCTCTTTCACGGCCAGTGCAGGATCTGTGTCCAAGACTCTTCCAAGCCATTACTTCTCTGCCTATTAAAACCCTTGCCCTGCTGAGACCACAACTCCTGCTGCTGTCAGATATCAGGCTGCCAGGCCCTTCTGTCGTTCACCTGGTTCCATTTTCCTCTGTAACCAAGTCCTGCCACCAGCACAGGTGATTTCAGTGTCAAGTACCACAGCCTCTAAGATTTCTTAGTCTCCTCACTACTAATGGACTTCTCCATCACACCTACAACATGTTCCAAAATCATTAATTCAAATATCCCACCTGCTGACCATCTCCAGTGCTCCAGCGTTCTTGGTGTTTTAACCAAAATCACTCTCTGACCACCTGGGGATCACTTGTGCATGACTTCTCTACTTTTTTCCAATCCATTAGCTTGTTCTTCTTTTGTTTCAAAGTACTGTTCCTTCTAGTTTAGATTATTTCAATTACACTCTTGGAATTATTTTTAAATTTTTCAATTACAGTGAACATCCAATATATTATATTAGTTTCAGGTGTATAGCACAGTGATTAGACATTTATATAGTTTAAAAAGTGCCTGGCTGATAATTCTAGTACCTACCTGGCATCATACAGTTATTACAATATTAATCACTATATTTCCTAAGCTGTACTTTATACCCTATGACTATTTTGTAACTACCAATCAGTTCCTCTTAATCCCTTTACCTTTTGTATCCATTTGTCTTTATGTCATTCTCAACTAGCAAAGTCACAACCCAAACAAACTTAACTATCTGTTCTGTGCCTGGTGTTGTTGGAGAAATGTAAAAATGCTTTAAAGTGCCTTACCTTGTAAATCTTCCATCAATTCAAACATTCCAGGATAGTTAACTTGAATTTCGTCAGTGTCCTATTAAAAAAGAAAATATTCACTTGACATTTATCACACAAAAAAATCCAGATTCCAAAGGCCACAGAAATTACCCAAACCAATCTCTCATCGTAAGCAGGATTCTAAGTTACAACATTCTTCACAGATGTCATCTGGCTTATGCTTGATTTTTGATGATTTCAAATTGCAGAATGAATATTTGCCATTTTAAGAGAATACTTTCTAAAACTCGATCAACTAATTCTAGTTCTTTCTCTGGGAACAACACAGAATCAGTCCATTCTGTGCTCTGCAAACCATTACCCTCTTATTCACATCTAAAAATTCTGCCAGGAGAGTGTAGTGGAACAGGATTTCACCCCAAAATATGTTTCTTTGGATTATTTTAGGCTGATTCTTTTTTAAAATCAAAAGGCTTCAGAAAAGCTTTTAACCTTAACCACCTAAAAAGAAATAAAAAATGTATAGAGAGAATGCGATAAATACAGAGCAGGTCACAAGTGAAAAGAAGTTTCCTCCTCCTGACTTCTGATACTCTGTCCCTCTTCCCAAAGATAACCTTTGTTAACTGTCTTATACATTCTTTCAGAACAATTTTCCCCCATAGACCCAAATACAATTATATCACTTAAAACCTACATAAGCAACTATATATGTATATGTGTACATACATACATACTCTTTTGTTCTTTTTCTATATTGCATTCTTGTTTTTATAGAAAATAACATCTTGGAGATCTTCCCCTATAAACATATAGGATTCCTTTTTTAACAGCTGTGTACCATTTCATTAAATTTATTTAACCATTTCTCTATTAATGGACATTAAGATTGTTTTCAGTTTTTCTTTTTAATCCTCACCTGAGGGTATTTTTTTTATTAATGATTTTAGAGAGAGAAAGGAAGGAAGGGAGAGAGAAACATCATGTGAGAGAAAAAATAGACCAATTGCCTCCCACACGATCCCCAACTGGGGACTGAACCAGCAACCTAGGTAAGTGTTCTGACCAAGAATTAAATCTTTTGGTGTACAGGATGATGCTCCAACTAACTGAGCAACCAGGGTTTACTTTTAAAAAAAATTAAAGCTGAAACCGGTATGGCTCAATGGATAGAGTGTCGGCTTGGGGACTGAAAGGTCCCGGGTTCAATTCTGGTCAAGGGCATGTACCTTGGTTGCCGGCATATCCCCAGTAGGGGGTATTCAAGAGGCAGCTGATCGATGACTCTCTCTCATCGATGTTTCTAACTCTCTATCCCTCTCCCTTCCTCTCTGTACAAAATCAATAAAATATATATTTTTTTTAATTAAAAAAATGCGTAAATCAGTTTGTGTGTGAACTTTTTAACAAGACAGTCCTTGGGTAATTCATGTCTTCTACATATTTTTTTTACATTAAGAAACTATTTTTAAAAAGAGATCCTAAAATTAAAAACAAAATTTCTTCCAAGCTGATATGCAGCCATTAAGCAATATCCTTTGAAAACCATTCTTCAGTGAAATAAATCTAAAAGCACTGACTTCATTTCAATCAGAGGACCACAATAGCTTTGTCAAAGGTCTTACTGAAATAAAGATGGACCACCTGCATTTTCTCCTAATATACTAGTCTGGCATTTGGTCATAAAAGGAAATAAGCTTTATTTAGAATGCCAAATGACTCTGAAAATAATTCACTAAGAGGGTCATATAAATGTAAATATAACTATTTGGCTTTAATTTAACTTGATTTCACTTAAAAATAGGAAACTACAGCAGTATAAAAGCAATATATCTAATGCTGTATGCAACATAAACCCCTATAATTGATTAGATAAAAGCTTTTTTGGATGGGTTTTTAGAAAATGAATTAGAGTGCAATGTTAATACAGCACTTTAGAGACAGTGTATATGTCTCAAGGAACAAATTTATAAATTTATTATTAAATCAGCAATTCTCTAATTTTGGAAACTATAAATAAGATTCTACACCAATATTTTTGTATTATATTAATATTTAAGTTATTCAGTTCATGTTTGGAGAAGAGAAAACCAAGATGGTGGCATAGATAAACAACTGAACTTGCTGTCTCGCACAACTTCAAAACTACAACTAAAAGACAAAACGGACATCATCCAGAACCACAGGAAGGCTGGCTAAGTGGATTTTCTACAAGTAGAAGGGAAGAGAAAAACACACTGAGACTCACAGGAGCTGAGGAAATAAAGTGCAGAGGTACGGAGGCATGTGCACAGAGAGGGCTGGGCACTGAGTATGCAGCTGGCTTTTTCAATCCAGAGGGAGATACAAGCTCCCAACTGCTCTGAACTCCAGTTTCAGACGAAACTCTGGAGACCCAGACTCAACGGGTAGAAAATGGACTGTCTGGCAGTGGGCAGAACTTAAGGGTGGCCTTCTTTCAGAGGTGCTTGCAGTGATTACTAAGGGACACTGAGACCCAGGGGTCTCTTAATGCAAGGTTGACAAGAAGCCATTGCTGTTTGCTCCCCAGTGAGACTCCGCCCCATACAAGCTGTGTGCAGAGGCTTTTGCTTGGTCCTTTGAAATCTAAACTTACCTAACAAACCGCAGCTGAGTCAGAGAGACCCAGAATATACAAAAGAAGGCCCAAGGCAGCCACAGCAGCTTGCATTGCTTCACAGCTGGACCTCATCTGGGCACCTCCAAAACCCAAACAAAGAAGAGGAATATGCAGATATCTCCATAGCTCCTGCTGGGTGGCCTCAGGCAGAGGATAAATTAGCACCTCCTTGGAGATCCAAAAGCCAGTGCACCCAGGAATCAGACTGGTACCATCCAAATTACAACTCCTCAGATCCATAAGGGACAGACTCAGGGGGCAGACTCAGTGAGCACCAAAGCCCCACTGAAGCAAGTCTTGGCTCATAAGGGTGTCTCCAGCACAGAGTTCTCCCACTGTAGACACAGCTGATCCTCACAGCCAATTGGCCTGGAGGTTAATTCCTCCTAGTGATGCCAACAACAATCAAGGCTTAACTACAACAAGACTGTGCACACAGCCCACAGAGGGATGCACCAAAAGTTTCCACCTATAAACCCAAGAAAACCAAGCAGGGATTTTTGTTTTTTTACTGCTACATCCAAAGTACCTGAAATAGTGCCTGGCACACAGAAAGTACTCAATAAATGTTTGTCATAATATTGAATAAATAAAAAAAACACAATACTGTGATAGTCATTTCAGAATTGTTTCAAAAGAATCAACAACAAAAAACTGAAACAAACCTAAATGCTGTTCATTATGAAAATCTGTTAAAATAAAAGTGTAATATGCTAATTAGATCAGACGTCCTTCCGGATGAAACCAGGGCTGCAAGGGAAGCCAAGGTCCCGGGTGCCAGAGGGAGGCCAGCGCTGGCAGCTGGGGGAAGGATGGCCTACTCTTGCACGAATTTCGTGCATCAGGCCTCTAGTAGTTAAAAAAAACTTCGATATAGTCATATTAGAGAACAATACATAGAAGTTGGGGGAAATATATTCACATTGATTTGGGAAACAATTTAAAATATTCCATTAAGAATGAAAAATAAGTTTCAGAAATATATACATATATTTGCATACATGACTATATATAGTATGGTAGAGTATTTGTTATTTTTAAAAATCTGGAACATTACACACAAAACTGATGACAATAGCTACTTCTAGATCTCAAATGTGATTTGGATGCCCTTTTGATGCTTCAGGAAGTCAAACTATTTTCATAATAATACTAAAATGCTATCTGCCTTTTTCATCTTCCATTCTCTAAGAATACAATAGGATTTTTCAGAAGTTACCTGATGTGATATTGCAATTGATGTAAATGCAGAGCAGACATGAGACTCTAGCTTTTATTATGCCATCATTAAAGAAATATGCAAAACTGCAAAGCAATGACATTCTTTTCACTCAAAAAATTTTTTTTTTTTACTTCTGGAAAATACAGGTCTTTCTCATAAAAAAATAGATATTATCATATAATTGGTATATTATTGTTAGTTTTAAATGAATAATTACTAAAATTCAGTTTTAATTTCCAATAAGCTAATATTGATAGCTCTAACCCACATAAACAAAAACCCTTTAAGATCCTTAATAATTATAAGTGTAGGAAGCCACCCATTTTCTTCACTATCAGAAAAGTGTCAACAAAAAGCTTGGAACGCTGGTGAACCTTGAGCCCTGGCAAGGGCCAAGGCTATACACCAATTGTTTAGTCCAGACAATGGTGGCTCAAGCAATTACCTGGCCAAATAGTCCCAGAGTAAATCTTTCTAATATTTACTGACCTTTAAGATAGTCTGTCTGTTACCAGAATTGTCTGCCCGACTAAGGGCTGTATGAGTATCCAAAATTGAATAAAACGTTGGCAAGGCCTGGGCACCAGTGGAAGTCCTTCCCCTTGCATTGGGCTTCTCGCCTGGCCCCCAATATTTCCAAATTATTATTTTTTGTCTCATCTCTGTCATTTGTGCGCGGCCCTTCTCCAGATCCTGAACCCTGAACCATGCAGTATGTGGCTCACACAATAAGTGTGTAGAGGGATCATGAGACCAAATTTTTTGAGAAGTGTTGATCTCAGGAGAGAACTAAAATTTGGGGGACTAAGAGGAAAATGACAGACTTTCACTTTATCTGTAGAGTACAATGTTTACAACCAATATATTTGTACTTATATAATTAAAAATGCATTAAAATTATATAGTGATTCCTCAATGTACAATTAATTGCCTACATTGAGAGTGTTTGCTTTAATTATAAACCAGAACCCTCACATGAAGCAGTTTTTCATTTTTAGCTGCCCACCATGTCAGAATGCAGTTTCTATTGGCTCATGCCATTTAAGAGTTTACAAAAGACTGAACTGTGAAATCTTAAGGGTTGGTATTAGTTCCTAGCCTACTGCCTCTTCCTTCCCTGAAAGCCTCTTTCCACCATCAGAGACCCTGGTCTATGCCCCTCCTTTCTTTCAAAACAAGGACGGATATGACAATTCATTTTTGGTTGCCTGATTTTATGAAATATATTCACATTAAATCACCTTAAACAGATGGTTTTAAGACAGACTATCATCCTAATTATGTAATGAAGAGCTTTTCTTCAAGACCTATTTCATCTAATTAGGTTTAGAGATATTTCTAGGCCTTGAAGGGTTTGGAAAATGATGGAAAGTCTACTCAACCAATCTCTGAAGGCAGTAATGGCATTTTTCAGAATTACTCTGCTATTGAAAGGATTTGGAAGGGGGTAATCTTTTTCCTTACACATGAACCCCTGTTGGAAAGCCTTAGTCTGAAAAGTGCTAGGGGAAGATGAGGGGGAAAGAGGAAGGCAGAAGCTACTATTTATTGAGCCCCTACTGAAATACAGGCACTTCACACCCTTTATCTTATTTAATTCTAACAGCCATCTAAGGTGAGTAACATTCGCATTAAAAAAATAAAAAGAAAAAATAATGCTCAGAGAGGTAAAGTAAATTCCCTAAATGTCTTTAGCTAGTAAAGGGATAAGGTAAGGATCCAAAATGACACCTGTCAGACAACAATGTACCATGCTGATTCCATGTTTCTTCTGCCCTGATAGCCTGTGGGTCTGCTTTCCAGATCTCTTCAGCCCTAATGAAGTACATCCCCCATCCTACTTTTCCTAATCCTGATCTAACCCTAGGCCTTGTGCACATTATGTCATGGCTGCCTCATATGGCACTATTTCAACTAAGGATCTGGAAGTGGAGGTAGTGCTGTAAATTCCTGTACAACCTCTTTTCCTATCTGTATGGAAGCAAGCACAGGAGACTTGGTTGGAAGTCTGTAAAATGGAAATTCCGAAAAGGGAAGTTGGCAGAAGGCTGCCACCCCTAATTGTTCCTTGACCTTTCCAACGGACCCTTGCTGTTTACCAGAATCATTATGTTGAATTTTTAGGTGTCCTTGCATAAAGAACACTGCAGACATATATGTCCTCTAAGATTACTTATCCTATGGAGTGTATCTAAAAGATAAACTTTATCTCAAAAGTTTATCTGTGAAGCCAAAACCGGTTTGGCTCAGTGAATAGAGCATCGGCCTGAGGACTGAAGGGTCCGGGGTTCGATTCCCCATTAGGGCACATGCTACTGGTAGTGGGCTCGATCTCCAGTGTGGGGTAAGCAGGAGGCAGCCGATCAGAGAGAATAGATGCTTCTCTCTCTCTCCCTTCCTCTCTGAAATCAATAAAAATATATTTTTTTAAAAAAAGTTTATCTCTGAAAAGGCAGAGGCTGTCTGTCCTATAGCCAGGCAGTCCCTTAGCCCTGTCTTTCACAGCAATCCTGTGTCAGAGTAACCATTCATCCATCACTAGGGTCTGCTGGTCAGCCCCGGCACCTATCACTGGAATGCTTTAACGCTCACATTACACCAACCTCTGCATTTGAAGATTCTATAGAGCAGTACTATGTCTTAGAAAATAGTCTCCTTAATGAACCAAATAAACCGATGATCAAAAACAGACCCAGAGACATAGAAGCATCGAACAGATTGTCTAACTTCAGAGGGAAGGTGGGGAGAGGGGTAAGAAATTAACCAAAGGACTTGTATTCATGCATATAACATAACCTCAGAGGGAAGGCAGAAGTGGGTGGATGGGAAGAGATCAATCAATGAACTTGTATGCATCTAAAAACTCATAACCCGTGGACACAGATAATGGGGTGGTGAGGGCCAGGGGCAGGGGAGGGAGGCAGCAGGCTAGAAGAGGTTAATGGAGGAAAAAGGAGGACCTATATAATACTTGCAACAATAAAGGTGTTTTTTGTTTTTGTTTTTTAAAGAAAATAACCTCCTTATTAACTGAGGTACATAGTTTTTGAGCTACTATTCAGATAACAAATATTAAACATTTACATTCCTATCTTGTATCAATCAAGATGTGTTTATATACACTAAATTTAAAAAGAGAGAAAGAGAGCCTTGGCTGAGTGGCTCAGTTGACTGGAGGACCATCCTGTACACCAAAATACTGCATTCAATTCCCATTTAGGGCAGATTCCAAGGTTGCTAGTTCAATCCCTGGTCAGGACACATTCAGAAGGAAACCTATCAATGGCTTCTTTCTCTCCCCCTTCCTCTCTCTCTCTAAAATCAATTTTAAGACAAACAACCAACCAAACATATCCTTGGATGAGGATTAAGAAAACAAAAGAATAAGAGATCAAACATGCATATAAGTACAACCAATGAACACAAAACTCTGGGGAGGGAGGGTATGTATGGGAGGGAGAGGGCAATAGTAAGATATGTACATAGATAATAATTTAATTTTAAAAAAATAGCTAAGATAAACAAAAACAAAACAAAACAAAACAAAAAAAAACAAAAAAAAAAGAGAGTGATAGATTAAGTGCTAAAACCTTCCCATAATGCTGTTAATACCTACAGTTGTCTACCTTTAAAATGAGAAGCTGTTACTGAACGGTGTGATTATTGGGTTATTCGAGACTCCTGATAGTTACCACAGTCAGTGTATTAAAGCCAGCTCTCCCGAGCAGATGTCCTAGGTCATTGACAGCAGTGAAAGGAGAAATGTGTGGGGAAAATCCTCCTTCCCTTTCCGTTTCTGCTAACTGTAATGAACATCGAAGTTCATAGAGGGTGTCGCCTCCAAACATTGCGCCAATAAAAACTCCATCTGGTTTTAAAACATAATGAATCTGTAATAAATACAAGACAACAAAACTTTTCAAAATGTTATATATAAAAATGGTAAAAGAATAAATATATGGTGTCTAAATCAATATCTTGTGATTATATTTTTATTTTGTCAAATTAATGATCAGATAATTTAATAAATAACACCTAAGTCAACAACTATCAGAAAGGCATTATACTTAACATTGTTGTAAAGATAGACAATACATATATTAATAGTATTAGTATCTGTAAAATGTTATATGCTTTCAAATTTTTTACTAATAGAAAACTTATTTTTATATTCAGGCAAATAGCAAAAGAAAAAATATATATAGTCTAGAAGATTGCAAAAGTCACAATTCCCTCTGTGTCTGTGTCCTCTGAAATGCCATTCTGAGATGGAGTCTACTTCCCCCCTCCTTGAACTGGGCTGGCCTGCGACCTGCTTTGGGCAAAGCAAGGGCAAGTGACAGTGTGTAAGTATCAAACTGAGGTCTCAAATGGCCTTGCACACTTCTATCTCCTTTCTTGGAGCCTGTGTGGCTAGCATGTGGTGAACAAGCTAGCCTGGTGAAAGATGAGGGACATGAGGAGCAGAGGTAAGCCAGGCATCCCATTCTTGACCAGCAAGATCCAAAACAATCTAGTCACGGATCACAACCACATGGGTGAGCCACATCAGAAGCAGAAGAAGTTCCTAAGTCTAGCCCAAATTCCCAACCCACAAAAATCATAAGCTACATAAATTGTTTTAAATCACTAAGCTGCGGTGGCTTGATATGCAGAAAAAGCTAACTTATAAAGAAACCATTATGATTCTCAACATTAACCTGGAAACACATTAGCTTTCCTTCAGGAGAAGTAGCTAATTTTCTTTCTAGCTTGAGAACAAAAACACTTTAATTGGTAACTTAAGCAAAGTAGTGGTTAGAAGGAATTCCAGAATCACCAATGTTTACTCATGACCCTCTTAGACCTACAATCTGTAACTCGCTTTAACTGGCTATTCTCTACAATGAGGAACATCTGAAGTGAACCAGGACCCAAATCACAGCAGGCTCTTCTACTCAGAGTATCCATCTTGAATTTATATTAAAAATATTATTTAATTATATATTTTATATTACAAAATATTATAAAACATGAAGCATTTATAATACACTACTAGTAATAAGCAAACTGCAAAATCCTTGGTTTCTTCCCTTCTTCCCTTCCTTCTCCAGTCACCAGACTCTAACATAACAAGTATCTAACATTTAGTCCTCAGCTTCTGCAGCTTCTCTCTACCTCAGAGGGCTTATCAATTCCCATGGATTTCACAATGATTATTTTCCAAACCTTATGTTTAGCTTGTACATCTTCTTAGAACTCTAAATTCATCTTCAACTTACTATGCCATTTACATTTGTCTCCTGGCAAACTCATTCCCCTGCACATCCAACACATATTGGTTCTTAAGCCCTCCCTTTTACAATTGCCACATTTCTGTTAATTATCATCTTCTATTCCCTTTATCTGATCACTATAATTTTCCCCTTTACTTTTACTCATTATTCTCCCAAGTATCCAGACTCAGAACTTCAACTCCTCCCTCTTTTTGATCTTCAGATCTAACCAGCCACTAAACCAGTGTTTTTCAACCTTTTTTGGGCAAAGGCACACTTGTTTCATGAAAAAAATCACGAGGCACACCACCATTAGAAAATGTTAAAAAATTTAACTCTGTGCCTATATTGACTATATATTAATATAAAGTAATTCTCTTGAATAGGAATCAAATAAACACAAAGAAAGTATTTTATAATTACTTTATTATGAAATATTAAGTAAACAAAATAGTGAAAAATTATAAAATTCTTGTCTTGTCTGCACCTACGGCACACCAGGCAACATCTCGCGGCACACTAGTGTGCCGCGGAACAGCAGTTGAAAAACGCTGCACTAAACCATGGATTCTTCCTTTGCAGAGTCCTAAATAACTCTCTCTTTTTTTTCACTCCTATCATTCCCACCTAGGTTTAGTTTATCTCAGGAGGAACACTGAAACAATCTCACTTCAATTGAACCAACTTTTGGCAACAGCTTTCTAATCAACAGAAGGAAGACATCTTGCACAGTTATTTAACACATTGATTGAACAATGTGATTGTAATGGTATGTGCTTCACATATGGTAATTATTATCCTGCCATCCAGTTGTTTAATCATGTCACCTTACTCTTCAAAAGTCTCCAGTGACTCTGAACTGCCTAAAGAATAAACTGCAAATTCCTTATTGTCACCAAGTCCTCCCAAATCTGGTCCCAGTATACTTCATCTCCAAGCTAATCCTCCAAAGAGGCTTCCTCTTGGTCCTTTCATGCTCCTGGCTATTGTACCTCGCACCTATCCTGATTCTGCCTTTCTGGAATGTCTTCCCACTCCAAACCTAACCTATCCTCTGAGGCCCTGTTCAAGTAATCCCTTCCTCTTGAAGCTTTCTTGGCAGAACCAAGCAGAGTGATCTGCCTTTTACCTACCACTCAGCTATTCGCTGATAAATACGAGCCAACCAACATCTAGTGAGAACTCTCTAAGTAAAGGCATGAGGAAGAGACAAATATAAATAAATTAGTACTCACAAAAAAATTTATAGGCAATTAAGGAGAAAAAAAAATCAGAAAAGTCTTGTATTAATAATATCAATATTACCTTGTACAAGTTACCAGAGTCTTCATAAATATTTAAATATCTTCATACTAGATTTTTTGAATTGGCAGGGTTGGGGGGAAATCACCCAATGTACTTAATATGTCAAAGGGCACCAAGCATATCCAGCCCACAGAATGTGTAATAAATACTTAATTGATTTGCTTCAATTTCCAATTGTCAGATGTATAAATGGAAAACATCTATAAGTTTCCATGTGAAAACAAAAACATCTATAAGTTTCTAATAATAAATATAATAACATATGCTACTGGAATCAACATTAAATTTCTTACCTGTTCAAGTGCTCTAGGAAGGTCATTCACCCAGTGCAAACTAAAGAATGAAAACACGTTATTTTTTCTAGCTTAATTCATGTAATTAATTAGCATAAGAATCACTAATATAAGGACAAACCAAAAAAAGGACTTAATTTTAAGTTTAAAATTGCATATCAAAATTCACTGACTGATCTGATACAGGTTTTTAAAAATATGCTCAGGGAAAAACTTTCCTTCTGTCAGACTAGAAAATGTGATAGCGTTTCACTTTGTCGATATGATTTTATGTGCAATTATTCTTCGCTGAATAAAGTAAAAGTAAATTTTTCAAATAAGACATACAAATGATCAACAGGTATATGAAAATATGCTCAACATCACTAATCATTAGGGAAATGCATGTCATTTGAGTTATCAACACCTTATATCTATTAGCATAACTATTATGGGAAAAAAACACAAGAAACAACAAATGCTGGCAAAAATGTGGAGTGAAGGGAACCCTTGTACACTATTGGTGGGAATGTAAACTGGTACAGCCACCATGCAATAGGAGGCTCCTCAAAAAAAATTAAAAATTGAACTACCATAAAACTCAAAGAAATTCTAGGTATATATCTGAAGAAAATGAAAACACTTTTTATTTCAAAGAGATACCTGCACGTCCATGTTCAGTGCAGCATTATTCACAACAGTCAAGATGTGGAAACAATGTGTCTTGCAGAAAAAAGGTTAACCACACCTGTCTTAGACCAAGCTTCTGAAATGATTTCATTTCATGACAGATTCTGAATACTTTTCTAAGTTTGCTAAGAACACCTCAACAAACAGGGAAGAAGTTACAAACTCAATGAAGAAAACAGCAGAGGTGCCCAACCAGTGTGGCTCAGTTCTTGACTGTGGACCTATGAACTAGAAGGTCAGGGCACATGCCCATGTTGTGAGCTTAAACCCAGTAGGGAACATGCAGGAGGTGGTAGATTAATGATTCTCTCTCATCATTGATGTTTCTCTTTCTCTCTCTCTCCTTTCCTCTCTGAAAGTGATAAACATATATTTGAAATAAAAGGAAGGAAAGAAGGAAGGAAGAAAAGAAAGGAAGGAAAAAAGGAAGGAAGGAAGGAAGGAAGGAAGGAAGGAAGGAAGGAAGGAAGGAAGGAAGGAAGGAAGGAAGGAAAGAAGGAAAGGAAAGGAAACAGCAAAGGTGACCAACTCTCCCAGTTTGCCTGGGACTGAGGAGTGTTCAGGGACACAGGTTTTCTAGTGCTAACACTGGCAAAGTAATGAGCAAACTGATGACTGTCCACCCATTTGAAAAACAGCTATCAAAAGGGTTGTATTGAGCATGTTGAATCTTTGAAAGAAAATCTGACTAGAATATTTTCTTTTCTTTATTAGACACTAAGTTCTTTAAGGACAGGATCCCTGTCTGAATTCATTTTGGCATTCCCCTAAAGTAGGGGTGTCGAACTCAATCAGAGAAGGGGCCAAAATCTAAAATCCAGCCTAAATTGCGGGCCGAATGGTTTACTGAACAGTCATAAACTGTCATTGTGATGGAAACGCAGCGGAGTGCAGTGATGACAGCGCGGTGCGGGCCACATTGCAAGGCCTGGATGGGACGGATTTGGCCCGAGGGCCTTGTGTTTGACACATGTGCCCTAAAGCATCTAGCTCACTGCCTTGCATATTGTAATCTATTAGAGGCCCAGTGCACAAAATGCGTGCATGGGTAGGGTCTCTAGGCCTGGTCAGCGATCAGGGCCGATAGGGTCCTTCCAGCTGCCGGCCAGGACTGTCCTTCGTTCTCTGCCACCCCCTGGTGGTCAGCACGTGTGATAGCTAGCAATCAAACTCTTGGTCTCCTGGTTGAACTCCCGAGGGGACACTTTGCATATTAGCCTTCTATATATATATATTTCTCCCCCCCAATAAATATTTTATAATACATGTTTGTGTAATAAGTGTGGAAAGACATGGTAGAAAGAACAAAGGGGAAAAAGTAATCCTGAGGACTATATTTCTATGTAGACAAAGAATTAAAATAGAAGGAAACGCTAGCTTTTCCTTTTTTACCAAAATCTATATATATAAAAGCCTAAGTGACTGTCCGACTGTTTGATCAGTAACTATGACACACAATGATCACCAGGGGCAGATGCTCAATGCAGGAGCTGACAAACTGCAGTGACTTGGCAGCTGTGGTTCTCGAATGATGCACCTGGAACCAGAGAGGAGGGAACCCAATTGCAGGGTGAGTCATCCAAGAACCGGTTTCGGCACAGTCCCTTTGTGTGTCATAGCTACTGGTCAAACAGTCGGACAGTCACTTAGGGTTTTATATATATAGATTTTGGTAAATAAGAAAAAGCCAAGGGACTCCACCTATGCATGAATCCATGCACCAGGCCTCTAGTGAGTTTTTGAACATTGAGGTACTATATCATATTACCTCTATTAGGGAGCCATAATCCTTTACAAGAGAAATCATACAGTTTTTAACAAAGAAGACCAGGTTTCTGACTAAAAAAAAAAAAAAGCATTAAGAATTTATACTCCCTTATCTATTTTATTTATAACACCTATTTTTTAAAAGTACAAATAAATTACCAACCTTAAACTGCTAACCACCAGGTTAAATGTATTTTCTCTGAAAGGAAGGAATTCTTCATCAGCTAAAACAGTGACAGTAGGAATTTCCGTTTCTAAGGTATTTTTCTAATGGTTAAAAAATAGAAGTTAAAAAACACATTTATAAAATCTTAATTATTAACACAATCACTGTTTGTTAAACCTAAGTCATGTTATATTTCTTGGCAGTTTCTATCCCTTCTGGGGGGAAAAAAGGGAGCCACAAAGAAGGCACTCAAAAAATATTTCTTAAATTACATTTAAGACCAGGAAAAAAACTGGTAAGCTGGTTGGCAAAATATAAATAGGACACTTATCTCACACTGAAACAAATCTCAGAAAGCTAAAAGTTTAAGTAGAATAACTGAAGACACAGAAGTATTAGATGAGCCCTAGCCAGTTTGGCTCATGGATAGAGCATTGGCCTGTGGATTCAAAGGTCCCAGGTTCGATTCCAGTCAAAGGTATGCACCTTGGTTGCAGGCACATACCCAGTAGGGAGTGTGTAGGAGGCAGCTGATCGATGTTTCTCTCACCTCGATGTTTCTAACTCTCTATCCCTCTTTCTTCCTCTCTGTAGAAAATCAATAAAATATATATATTTTTTAAAAGAAGTACTAGATGAAAATATTGGTGAACATTTTTATACTCTTTGATGAAAATGCCTAAGTAAACATGACTTAAAAGGCAGAAACTATAAAGGAAAAGATTGATATACTTTATGATAAACTAATCAAAAAGTTCTAAAAAGCATAAATAATGTAAACAACACACTTGGGGAAATATTTATGACAATATAATTAAAGATTAATATCCCTAAAAAATAAGCTAGAATAAAAACAATTTAAAATAAAAACATGTCAAGGGTAAAGTAGATAAAGTATAGGTACAGACACATCACAAAATTATAAAATTCACAAATTAAAAAATACTAATAGTCAAATATCAGTAGCCAAAAGATATCAATGGTGATTTGGTCGCACCAGACATCAAAGAAATGCAAATAAAAATAACAAGATTCCACTTTCTGTCTATCAGATTGACAAAGACAAAACAACTGGACCAATGTTGCCAAAAAGAAGAAGAAAAGAGTACTTTTATTTAATATGGTTATTCAGTCTTCCTAAAGTCTATCTGGAATCCGTAAGTTCTATTACTAGGAATTTAATGCCAGGGAGAAAATAAATAAAACACACAAGGTTGTTTTTTTATGATTACGTTCATCACAGTGTTGGTTATTAAGAAACTAGAAATATAACTGTACTACAATATAAATTTAGCTAAATAAACCATGGAATATTCATATATTGGAATACTACATATCCAATTTAAAAGACAGTGTGTGTATGTCATTCACTGATATAAAAGAATGATAGTCTTTGAAAACATAGCATGTTAGCATAAGCGTTTGTATAAAACCATATATTAGGGACAGTTAAACATCCCCAATGTGGTGGAGACCAAATGTCACCAGAAGATGCCTCTGAGTGATGGAACTAGGGTGATTTTTTTTTTCCTTTTTGCCTTTATAGGTCCTGAATTATTTAGTTCTTTTTCGTGTTGTTATTTATAATCAGAAAAAAAAAATTATTTTCTTCTCAAAGAAAATAAAAATAAAGAAACAAAGAACTAAAAATCAAACCAAGAGACCAAATACCCAAAGTGTATTAAAAAGCTACTTACCAAAGCATTTTCTGCTATGTCCGCTTGAAAAAACTTTCCAACAGTTTCCTGCAATAAAATAATTAAAGCTGATCCAATGTTACAAAAACAAACAAAAATCCAGTAACAATAAAACAAATGTTGAAATTTCTAAAGGAGAATGTGATATTTACAGATTAATTTTCAGCTTTGTAAGGGTATTTTTCTGCATAAAAGCATTATGGTACAAATACCTTAATAACACATATTAAGTTACAAAGATCTATAATAATGAAAGTATAATACACTAATGAGACCGAACAGCCGAACAACCTTCCAGACATCATTCTGGATGAAGCCGCAGCTTTGGGGGTCAAGGCAGAGATGGTTAGGGGCAATCAGGCAGGCAGGCAGGCAAAGTGGTTAGGGATGATCAGGCAGGCAGGTGAGCGGTTAGGAGCCAGCAGTGCCCGATTGCAAGAGGAATGTCTGAATGCCAGTTTAGGCCCGATCAGTAGCTATGATGTTGGACATCCTCCAAGGCAGGTGTCCTCAAACTTTTTAAAGTGGGGGCCAGATCACGGTCCCTCAGAGAGCTGGAGGGCCGGACTATATGAACTACTATAACACCTCGGCTGCGCTCACTGCCCAAAAAACCTGGCGGGCCGGATCAGACTCCTCTGCAGGCCGCATGTGGCCCGCGGGCCGTAGTTTGAAGACGCCTGCTCCAAGTGGTCCCAGATTGCAAGAGGGTGCAGGCTGGGCTAAGGGACATCCTACCTCCCCCCAAAAGAATTTCATGCACCGGGCCTCTAGTTTAAATATAAGCATCCAACCTTATTATACGTAATATTTAACTATATTTAATTAAATAAAGAACACAGGTGTAAATAATCAACATCTTTAATTTACTCCACTGGGTTAGGCATATGTATTGACTTTTCCAAAGCACAGTATGCCATGAGCTAGTCTCCACTCTTGTGCCACCAAAGGCTTGCATTGGTTTTCCAGCCTTTTATTATAGTTGTTCATTCAGAGCTTACACAGAGTAAAGAAAGATTTAAACACAGATAGTGAGGGGGAAGGAGGAAGATAATAAGTGGCTTTCTTTTCCCTGTTTCACTTATCCTCCCTTCCTTCAAAGAGAAAAGGACACCATATTTCTTTCCAATTACACCTTCATGTTCTCTTATCTCTAGAATCTAGCTCCCACCATGCCTATCTCTACCTTCTTGAAACACCAGATGCCTCCCAATCTTGAAAATTCTCCTTTAACCACCTTCAAGTTGTCTGTAATCCACAATCCCACTTCTTACTAATGTCTTTCTCCTCAATTTCCACTTTCACTGCTCTATGAAGACTATTTCTCTAACAACCTAAGCACCAACTACAGTCTGTCTGCTCTCAGACCAACTTCACTTTACCTGTTAATGGCTCCTAGAAACATCACTGCTTTCTACTCGTTCCCCTCCTCTGCTAGATATGTCAATCCTTTCCACTTCACCCACATCCACTTCTTAAAGAACTTCCCTAAAAGAAAGGAAGAAAGAAAAAGGAAAGAAAGAAAGAAAGAAAGAAAGAAAGAAAGAAAGAAAGAAAGAAAGAAAGAAAGAAAGAAAGAAAGAAAGAAAAGAACGAACGAACTTCCCTTTCCACAACTTGGAAAAGTCAGCCTACAGTTACCTGGCCACCTGAGGACAACTGGTATGCAGGCAAATGCTTAACTCTAAGCTCTCCAAAAAGGGGCCCCTAAGTTGTAGTGTCTGTCAATTTCCATGGTGTAACTACTCCAACAGAGGATTTCATTCTACCAACATGATGGAGCTAAATGTGGAATTGGGAAGAGAGGTGACACAAAAGGCTCCAGTACACTAATGCCAGAAGTGAAATAGGCCAACCAGAATATCTACCCCTGTCTTTCACTCAAAAATGTAAATTAAGAGACTTGGAGTCAGGGTAGCAGTCCCCAGAGTTGGAGCAGCATGTAGACTTGGGGTGGAAGCAGTAGAGTGCTGGTAAATATTTAATAACTGGCTGTCAATAATGTCAGTAATTCTATCAATAATGTCAAAAATAATGTAATAATGTCAATCTTCTAAGTACATACATTCACTTCCATGGTGCAAGTACTCCCACAATGGCTGATTTCAAACTATCAATACGATGTCACTGGACACGGAGCCGGGAAGAGATGCTAATAATCAGCTCTCATAAGCAAGTGTGAGCTAATGCCAACACACCATTGGGTGCAGGTTACTCATATCGGCCGCATGCACTGATGAACACCAGGGATAGAAGAGGTCAAAGTGGGGGAATGGGAGGCATATGTAATAGTTTCAACAATCAAGATTTTTAAACAATATTTTTAAAAGAGGAATCAATGAATAAGTCTTTTAACCTGAGCAACTAGAAGAATTGATTTGACAGGCCCACCATATCTAATCAGTCATCAAGTTTTGTGGATTCTACTAGGTCTCTTTAATATTATACATCCCTTCCTTCAGATCTTACAGCCTCCATACAGGTGGCAAGTCTTGTCTGCACTTCCTTTAACACAGCCCTCTAACTGGTCTATTTCTTATCATCTTCCTTCTTCAATCCTTCTTGCATACCATCCTAAAATTAATCTTCCTTCAACATCACTACATCACACCACAGTATTCGACCTCTGAGCCTTTCCTCCAGCCATGTCTTTACTTCCAATGCCTATGAAACACCAGTTCAGTTTCTTTTAAATCCCAGGTCAGATTCTGTACCTTTTTAGAGGTCTTTGACTACATGAACCCTTACTGGTTTTTTTCTTTCCCTTAACTCCTGTTGCAGTGTAATAATTGTACCATTTCTGTGGCATTTACTACTATCAACAACAGTGGAGCCTCACACCTATCTTTACCTGTTTCCTGACCCAAGTGTATGTTTTTTTCTACTGTAAGTAGATTTTACATAAAAATCCCACCTTAATCTGTATCCATCAGTGGCTTACACATAGGTATTAAACTAATAAACAAAGACTTATGGTTGAATTAGAAAATGCAAAATAAACTGGTATAAATATTAATAAAGGATACTTATCACACTAAAATTAATATTTTCCTAGCTAAAATATTAGCTTAATCACATTCTTTAAATAAATGTCAATTGGATTTTACTGTGAATTATTAAAAACATTTGCACAAAGTAGAAATAAAGAGCAACATATCTTATATACATTTAAAAAGCTATAGTTAGGAACACTGTATAAAATACATTCAAAGTAAAGAAAGGCAATTTTAAGGAAAAACACTTAAGAAGGGACACACACAACCATTAGTTCAACCACTTAAAAAAATTAGTAATTCTGATATAATCCAAATGTAATAGATTAAGGAATTCTTTCCTTAAAATCAGCAAATTTTATTTCTCAAAGTAAATTAAATAATAAATATACCTTATTCAAATTTTGTGCTATGTAACCTCTTCCACAACCGACATCCAAAGCAAGGGGAAAATCTCTAAAAAATAGACACAGAAGTTATGTTTTGTCTATAATAATACAATTCATAAAATAATTATTAAGATCTAACTTTGCTTATAATTCACTAAGAAATAATTTGTAAGTGAGTGCAACTTTCAAAAAGTTTTATCATCTCTCTTTTTTGCCTTGCAAGCTGTAAGTACCAAAAAACATACCAGACAGAGAAAGTCTATCTGGTCCAGCCATTCATAGGATCTCAGAGTCAACTGGCTTTCCATATGGTTGCTCCATGACATGGATTCAAATAACAAATTTAGTGAGTGTACTTTAATTTGATAATATATGCAGAGAAATAATAAAAATAAGCGTATATAGATTAACATGAGCCCAGCTGGTGTGGCTCAGGGGTTGAGCATCGACCTATGAACCAGGACAGGAAGTCACAGTTCGATTCCCAAGTTGCGAGTTCGATCCCCAATATGGGCTGCACAGCAGGCCACTGATCAATGAGTCTGTCTTAACTAGAGGCCCAGTGCATGAAATTTGTGGACTCAGGGGGGCGGGGATCCCTCAGCCCAACCTGTACCCTCTGAGTTTACGAACCCTTGTGGGACGTCTAACTGACAGCTTAGGCCCACTGCTCCCCACGGGGTATGAGCCCAGCTTCTGCCTGAGAGGTACTCCCCTGTGGGAATGCACTGACCACCAGAGGGCAACTCCTGCATTGAGTGTCTGCCTCCTGGTGGTCAATGAGCATCATTGTGATCAGTCGTTATGCCTCACGCTGAAACTGGCTCTCCAACATTTCCCAAGGCGTCCTGGATTGCAAGAGGGTGAAGGCCAGGCCAAGGGACCCCACTGGTGCACAATAGGGACCAGGGAGGGACACAGAAGTTTGGCCAGGTGGGGAGGGACCCCAGGAGAGTTCCAAGGCATGTCCAGCCTGTCTCACTCAGTCCCAATTGGCCAGACCCCAGCAGCAAGCTAACCTACTGGTCAGAGCAACTGCCCTCAGGTGGTCAGTGGACATCATAGAGACTGGTCAACTGGTTGACTGTCTGCCCCCTGGTGGTCACTGCATTTCATAGGGAGTAGTTGAGCAGCCTTAGTATATCATTAGCACATTATGTTTTGATTGGTTGAACAGCTGACCGGTCTACTGGACACTTAGCATATTAGGCTTTTATTATATAGGATGTTTCTATCTCTCTCTCCCTTTCCCTTTCTCTCTGAAATCAATAAAAATATATATTTAAAAAAATATTCCACATACCTTTTAGGAACATACTAATTATTTCTACTTCTGATGACTTAGACATCACCATATGAAATAGCATGAAATATCATGTTAAACTAAAAACAAAAACACCAACTAAATAATAGCTCACTTTTATTGCAGTCTTACCAGGTTCAGAAGTATGCTAAGTGTTCAGAGTTCAGTAAGTTAACCCAAGGTCATCCAACTAAAAAGCAGCAGTCAAAACTTGAATTCAGTCAGTTTGAACCCTTACCCAGAACCATTATCCCTTGTACTACGCTGTCTTCTCTAAATTTACCATGCCATACTAAATCAGGGCACATCTAATTGTAGAACATAGGCTTATGAAAAATTGTTTCAAGAAAACTTAAAATTTTTCTCACTAATAACATTTTTCCTATTGGGACCAAAAGAGTCCCGTTTCAAGTTCTGTTGAGTCATATGTCAAAAATATAGAACACCAGTACACAACTGGAGAACCACTGGTGAAAGAGAACCATATTTTGATTAGGAACACAGGTAGTGTGACACTGTGAAGTACACAAGCTTTGAAACCAGAAAGAAACGAGTTAGAATTCTGGGCCTGCAATTTACTGGCTCTGTGACCAGAAACAAATTATTTGATATTGTTGTATTTCAATTTATCCAAACATAAAATGAAAAAGTTATTATCTCCCTCAGAGTTGGTGTAAAATTTTTAGTAAATAGTACATGTGAAATATTTAGGCCAGCAGAAGTTAGTTATGAGTTATAATTAAAATAGTATTAAGTGAGCCTCAAATAATGCAAATAAGACCTTTGCTAGTAATAATCGGTGGGGTTCGAGGACACAGACAATAGTGGTGTGAAGGCCTGGAGAGAGGAAGAGAGTGCAGAGGACAGAAGTCAATGGGGTGGGGGGTGGGGGGTGAAAGGAGGGTATCTGTAATACTTTCAACATTAAAGATAAATTTTAAAAAATAATAATCAGTGGGTGAGTTTTTAAAAATCACTACAAGATTATTGCTGACAATATAAACTACTCTTTCTAATACCAGAACATTAGTATAAAATCATTTAAATTGGTATTTTAAACTAGTGTCCTGGTGCACGGATTCGTACACATTGAAATGAAATTAATTAGATAAAATATTTTACTATCGCTATTTGCATCTTGCTAATGAAAACAAAACAGGATTCTATAGAGTCTCCTATCTACCTACTCCAGGACTTTTGTGAGGAACAAGTAAGATGAGGCATGGGAAAATGCTTCACAAACATTTGGTTAAACTGTAAAATGTTTGCACCTGGCTATAAAGCAAGTCAGGTTCCTGGGAAGAAGAAACTCCAAGGAAGCTAGTCACTAGGAAGATGAAGTCGGGCGTTGCTACATGATGTCATTGCCTGGCACCCACAGCCACTGTTTCTAGGCTGGACTGGGCTGTGGGCCGCATTTTGTACCATGGGGTCTTGGTGGCATTGACTGTGATTTGGTGGGGTGTTGTTTCAGGGTGGTGGGGGGCCTGTGTCCCACTGAGGAAAGCCAAGTGTTGGTTTGTCGGTGCCAGGTAAGCGGTACTGTTTATTTTTAAATTAGAGGCCCAGTGCACAAAGTTTGTGCATGGGTAGGGTCCCTAGTAGCTGCCGGCTGGGGCCTCACTTCCCCAGCTGCCGGCTGCCAGCCAGGGCCTTCCTTCTTTTGTTCTGCACCACCCCCTGGTAGTCAGCACACATCTAATTCCCAATTGGTCAAACTCCAGCCAATAGGTACAATTTGCATATTAGCCTTTTAGTATATAGGATGGCCAATGCATGTCATGGCAGCTCCTGCATTGAGTGTCCGCCACCTGGTGCACATCATAGCTACTGGTCGGACAGACAGATACCTAGCCTGTCACACACACACACACACACACACACACACACACACACATATATATATATATATGTATATATATATATATATACACACACACACACACTAGAGGACCAGTGCATGAAAATTCATGCACTGGAGGGGGGTCCCTCAGCCCAGCCTGTCCCCTCTCACAGTCCAGGAGCCCTCAGGGGTGGGAGGCGACCCAGTGATCAGGGGAAGGCAACGCCCCATCACACCCCACTGTGCAATGGTGGAATCCCTTGGCCTGGCCTGTGCCCTCTCACAATCTGAGACCCCTCAGGGGATGTCAAAGAGATGGTTTCAGCCTGATCTTCAGGCCAGGCCAAGGGACCCCACTGGTGCACAAATTCATAAACCGGGCCTCTAGTGTAGTTATAAATTCAGATCTGTAAAGTCTTTACTATGCGTAACATAGAGCAATATCCAGCAAGATTTTAATAATTACTTAAAGAAAATGTTCTTTTCTTAAATCTGTCTCTATATAATTATCATAGAACAGTTACTGTCGTTAAGAATACTTAAGATAAAATGGCCAAAGTCTCTTCTATTCTAATTGGTTAACAAATCTAGGTAGATTCTCCTTTGTTTAGATCAATGGTTGGCAAACTCATTAGTCAACAGAGCCAAATATCAACAGTACAACAATTAAAATTTATTTTGAGAGCCAAATTTTTTAAACTTAAACTTCTTCTAATGTCACTTCTTCAAAATAGACTCGCCCAGGCCGTGGTATTTTGTGGAAGAGCCACATTCAAGGGGCCAAAGAGCCCAATGTGGCTCATGAGCCACAGTTTGCCGACCATGGGCTTAGATGATAACAGATTTTGTTGCTATTTTTAGTTAAACTTTTAAAGCTAGGTTTAGTAAATATTAAAAATTCACATGCAGCAGAAACCGGTTTGGCTCAGTGGATAGGGCGTCGGTCTGTGGACTCAAGGGTCCCAGGTTCAATTCCGGTCAAGGGCATGTACATTGGCTGTGGGCACATCCCCGATGGGGGGTGTGCAGGAGGCGGCTGGTCGATGTCACTCTCCCATCGATGTTTCTAGCTCTCTATCCCTCTCCCTTCCTCTCTGTAAAAAATCAATAAAATATATTAAAAAAAAATTCACATGCAGTCAATTCTTTAAAAAATAAAAATAAAAATAAAAATAAAATATATTACACTTCAGAGAGAGGAAAGGAGAGAGATAGAAACATCTATACTAATAAAAGGGTAATATGCTAATTAGACCAGGTAGACCGAATATCTTCCAGAGGTCTGAGTTCCTTCTGGACAAAGCCACAATGGCAGGGCCAAGGCAGAGGCGGTTAGGGCTATCAGGCTGGCAGGGGAGCAAGCAGTTAGGGGTGATCAGACTGGCAGGAGAGCAAGCAGTTAGGCGTGAGATCAGGCCAGCTTGGGTGAGCAAGCAGTTAGGGGATGATCAGGCTGGCAGGGAAGGGCAGTGGAAGAGATCAGGCAGGCAGGCAGGTGAGCAGTTAAGAGCCAGCAGTCCCAGACGGTGAGAGAGTAATGTCCAACTGCCATAGGGATCAGGCTTAAACCAGCCATCAGACATCCCCGGAGGGATCCCAGATTGGAGAGGGTGCAAGCCGGGCTGAGGGACACACCCCCTCACCCCCGGCTGCCATGCACTGGGACTCTAGTCAATAATAAAAATCATTGATCAGAAATCTCCTGCACCTCCTACTGGAGATTGAGCCTGCAACCCAGGTATGTGCCCTGATTGGGAATCCAACCATGATCTCCTGGTTCATAGGTCGAGGCTCAAACACTGAGCCATGCCAGCTGGCTGCAGTCAATTCTTTATCTCCATTTTTTGAAGCTATTTTTCCATTACTGGCTTTTGGCTAAATCAAGTGGATCAGTCATTCAGGATCAGAGAGAAGCTAAATCTTTTGTTTCTTATTCATCCTTTCTTTAAGCAACAATGAAGCCAAGAAGAGACTTAGAGAGAGAGTGAAATGACTAATCCTAGTTATAAATTCGTCCAGATTCTGTCATTCCAGATATCAAACCCTCATCATTTAATCTCTCAAGTCTCCAGTCAAAGTTGATTGTATTTTGCTATGTATACATCATCACCTACCTGGCTATGTCATGTACACGGTCCGCAATCCGACTTCCAACCTGAAGGATAGAAGAGACAATGATGTATACAAGCTAAGATCATTGATTAGCTGCCTCCTGCATGCCCCCTACTGGGAACCGAACAAGCAACCAGGGCATGTGCCCTTGACCGAAATCGAATCTGGGATCCTTCTAACCGCAAGCCAACGCTCTATCCATTGAGCCAAACGAGCTAAGCTCAGGGTACTTCATCAGATCGTCTGCCATGTCGATGGCCTTCCCTGACCATGGAATCACTGTACCACTTCACTTCATTATCTCACCTTACTTCTTAGCTGACATCAGTGTTTTGTTCACTGTCTGTCTCGCCTCTCACAAGAATGAAATCCACTGAGGACAGCGGTCTACTTTGCCCTGGACATATCTATAATTCAAGCAATATGAATGAATGAATGAATGAATGAATGAATGAATACAAATATCTGAGCCCAGCCCTTCCGTGATTAGAATAGAGCCCCAGAAAGGCAGGGCGCTTGCTGCTCAAGGTCACGCGGCAAGAAGGGGTCGGTCGGGACCCGGCCAGAGCTCCGGCCCTAAGCCAAGGCTCGGCGCTGCCAACCCCCGCCCGGCGGACTCACCTCCTCCTTCAGGTACTCAAACTTCAGGGGCTCGGGCTGCCGGGCCGCCCAGTTCTTCTGTTTCCTCTTCAAATCGCGATCGAAGATATTTAGGGCTCTAGGCGAGGCGCTGCTCGGGGGAGAGACGCCAGAGGCGACCTTCCGGACACCGAGGTTCCTCCCCGGGATCCTCGCCACCGGAGGTCGCCGCCACCGGAGCCAAAACCGGGTCAGTGGCAGCATCTCCCTGCATGGAGCCATTTGCTGGCGCGCCCGCCGCGCGCATGCGCCGCCGCCGCTTAGGAAACTACTCCGGAGCTCTTCGCGAGGGAAAGCGGAGGTAGTTTGGCCCACGTCGCCTGCCATTCCGGAGGGGGGGGGGCGTCACGCAGAGGATTGTGGGTGCGGTTCCCACGTGAGGCTCTGGGAAGACTTCTAGGAGGTGAGTCTGGTAGGGTTTTTACCTGGATTCTAGTCTGTGGCAGGAATCGGGAGGGATGCTCCCTTCTTCCTTGCTTTCCAGCCTCATTTTTCAGACTTCCTTGATGCTTCTCGGGTCCTGTCGGGGGACCTCAGTCTAGTAGCAGCGTCCTGAGGTTTGGGAGCTGGGAAGGAGACCCTGGTTTCTGGCCACCCTGGTGTTCACCGTGTTGGAGGGTGGGTATCAGGGGAAGGTGGACCACAGAGATGAGGGTCCGTCGGAGGTGAGGTCAGGCCGCCTTTCCCTCTCTGAATACCGGAGGTTTGCCCAATGCTTTCCTTCTAAGTGTACATATACATTACCTCTGGTAGCTGGATGAGATGGTACCTACGCTGTAAGGCTGTTCAAAGGGATAAATGCTTTAATACATCTAAAATTCGTAGACTACTACCTGGCACGCTGTTATTAATGCTTCTTTTAAATGTGCACGAGGGTTATTGAAACCTATGACTTTTCTTGGCCTATAAATGTTGTTTTAAACTTTTCGGGTAAAAATACAGCTTTATCATCAAGGCTTGCTTTTTTTTTTTTTTTTAAACAAAGCACCATATCCTGTTTGATTAGTTGCTTTTTGCTCTTAATAACCAATGCCTTTTGACTCTTTACAGAATTTCACATCTAGAGATACGAAACCATTAGTGACTATTTTTAAGAAACACTTGTAATTTCATACACACGTATTCTAATGTGTTAGGGGGCGGAACGGAACCAGCCCGTTTGGACCTTGGTCACTTCTAAGATAAGAAGTTATAGAAAGAGCCGAAACCGGTTTGGCTCAGTGGATAGAGTGTCAGCCTGGGGACTGAAGGGTCCCAAGTTCAATTCCGGTCAAGGTCATGTACCTTGGTTGCAGGCACATCTCCAGTTGTACCTGAAGAAGATAATAGAGGGGGTGTGCAAGAGGCAGCTGATCGATGATTCTCTCTCATCGATGTTTCTAACTCTCTATCCCTCTCCTTTCCTCTCTGTAAAATACCAATAAAAATGTATTTTTTTTTTAAAAAAAAGAAGTCATAGAAAGACATGATATTTATTAACTAGACTGAGACTGCCTGGTTTTGAAGGATGGTCAGATCTAAACAGGGAGCTTTGTGAACTGAACCTGACTTGATTTTGGTCTGTTTTGTTAAGAGACTAGCCTTGTAGAACTAACTAAAGGCTGTTTGACATAACATGAGGTAAGAACTGACAGAGTAGGTGGGACCAGTATGTGAAAAAAAAAAAAAATGAGATCAATTAAAGCTTGGGAATCTTAATTACATTAGCTTTTAACTTGTAATGCATACAGTTATACAAACAGAAATATAGAAATTCTAAGGGAGTTAAGTTGGTTAGCAAGCATTTGCCTCAGAATTCTGCTTGCTTTTGCCTTAAATTTATTTTTTTAAGTACTCTGTAATTGAAACAGGATATTCTGATAGTTTTTGGTTTTCTGCATGTGACTCAGAATAAGTTTCTAAATGAAATTAGACTTTTTACTTTTATTTGCATTTAACTTAGACTGTCTTGTGAATTAATATTTTTTCCTGAAACATCTCATTTAATTATATTACTAAGCCTTTGTTATTGTAACATTTGTTTTATTTTTCAGTGTTTGGTTTCTTCAAGCATTTGTCCAGTCAGACATTTAAAAATGTCATCCAAACAAGAGATAATGAGTGACCAGCGGTTTAAGCGGGTTACAAAGGACCCAAGATTTTGGGAAATGCCAGAGAAGGATCGAAAAGTCAAAATCGATAAGAGATTTCGAGCAATGTTTCATGACAAAAAATTCAAGTTGAATTATGCGGTGGATAAAAGAGGACGCCCCATCACCCACAGCACTACCGAGGACTTGAAACGTTTTTACGATCTTTCAGATTCTGATTCAGATCTCTCAGATGAAGATAACAAAGCATTAAACCAAAAGAAAATAAAGAAGAAAAAACCCCAGAAAAATGAAATTGAATCAACAAATCTAGTTGAGAAAAAGAAAGAAACTAAGAAAATTACCCAAAAAGATTCTGGAAATAAAAATGATTTGGATAACTCTGACAAAATTCAGAAAATGAAAAACTCATGCAAACATAAGAAGGTAGATTCAAAAATAAGTCCCAAGAAAGATAGGGAAGAACTTATACTAAAAAGTACAAAAGTGGAAAAAAGTAATGTTCAACATAATACAGACTTGTGTCCCAAAGGAAGACTACGGACAGTAGACTCGGGCACTTCTGAAATTGTGAAATCTCCCAAAATCAAGTATTCTAAGACAAGAAGAGAAATGCAGTCAGGTTTGTTGGAATAAATTAATGATTCTTTGGTATTACATTATTTACATTTATTCTAATCTTTTTTAAATGTAAGCATATTCAGTAAGTATTTTTACAGTATAATGGGGTTTATCAAGTGCTTATTTAAAAGTATAAAATTATGAAAGAAGAAAAAATCTTATCATTAATATTTGATTTAGTACTATAATGGCTAGAAGATATATAAAAAATTGAGTCCTGAAGTTAAACAATAAATTGGATTTGTGGTAAGCGCTAGTTAGAGCTGTATTCTCTAATCAGATAAAGTGTTATTATGTTCTCATCAAATGATAAGAGTTGTGCCTGAAGAAGATAATAGAGTCAAGTACTCATTCATTTCTTCATTCAACTACTGTCAGTGATTATTATTTAGCAGATAGACCATGAGTACTGGTCTATGGTTACCCTCTCAGGGCTACTGTTAGCTTATATAATGTCTGTGAAAATTAGAAAAAGAACACACAGAACGCTGATAAGGGACAGCATATTTAAGTGAAGCAACAGGTTCTCTTAACATGAGTAGACATAGCTTTTCTGCACAGTGCATTACTTAGTGAGTGGAGTTTGCCTTGATTTCAGCCTATCTTGCCCTTTTGCAGATCTTCTGTTGCAAAAGACAGCTCTCTAAACTGTACTGGAGCCCTGGTCGAAAGCAGGGCATTCCAGTCACCCCAATAAATTTAATAAACACTTTTTTTTTTTTTGCTCTTAATATTTTTATTATTTTTAAAAAATATGTATTTTATTGATTTTTTTTTGCCCCCCTCTCTCCCATAAATACCCTCCCTCCCTAGAGTTTTATGTTCATTGGTTGTACTTATATGCATGTATACAACTCCTTCGGTTGATCTATTATCTCCCCCAAATCTCCCTCCCTTCCCCGCTGTAATTTGACAGTCTGTTGCATTACTGTCTCTATATCTATCTTTTGGTTCATCAGTTTATAATGTTCTTTATTATCCATAAATGAGTGAGGTCATGTGGCGTTTCTCTTTCATTGATTGTCTTATTTCACTCAGTATGATGTTCTCCAATTCCATCTGGGTTGCTGTAAATGATGAGAATTCCTTTTTTTTTTATGGCAGCATAGTATTCCATTGTGTAGATGTACCAAAGTTTTTTGATCCATTCATCTGCTGACGGGCACCTAGGCTATTTCCAAATTCTGGCTATTGTAGATTGTGCTGCTCGGAACATGGGGGTGCATATATCCTTTCTGATTGGTGTTTCTAGTTTCTTGGGATATATTCCTAGGAGTGGGATTATTGGGTCAAATGGGAGTTCCATTTTCAGTTTTTTGAGGAAACTCCACACTGTTCTCCACAGTGGTTGCACCAGTCTGCATTCCCACCAGCAGTGCCCGAGGGTTCCTTTTTCTCCGCAACCTCGCCAACTGTTGATTTGTTGATGTTGGCCATTCTGACAGGTGTGAGATGATACTGCATTGTTGTTTTGATTTACATGTCTCGGATAATTAGTGACTCTGAGCATGTTTTCATGTGCCTTTTGGCCTTGCTTCTGTCTTCTTTTGAAAATATTCTATTTAGATCCTTTGCCCATTTTTTAATTGGATCATTCATCTTCCTTTTATTTAGTTGTATAAGATGTCTGTAGATGTTGGAGATTAAACCTTTATCAGTGGTAACATTTGCAAATATGTTCTCCCACACAGTGGACTTTGTTGTTGTTTTGTTGATGGTTTCTTTTGCTGTAAAAAAGCTTTTTATTTTGATGTAGTTCCATTTGTTTATTTTCTCTTTAGTTTCCATTGCCCTCTGGCCTAGGGGCAGTATCAGTGAAGTTCTTTTTGCATATGTCTGAGATTTTGCTGCCTGTGGATGCTTCTAGTATTTTTATGGTTTCCCATCTGATGTTTAAGTCCTGTATCCATTTTGAGTTTATTTTTGTGTATGGTGTAAGTTGGTGATCTAGTTTCATTCTTTTGCATGTATCTGTCCAATTTTCCCAACACCATTTATTGAAGAGACTGTCTTGACTCCATTGTATATTCGCGCCTCCTTTGTCAAATATTAATTGAGCATAGTGATTTGGGTTGATATCTGGGTTCTGGATTCGATTCCATTGATCTATATGTCTGTTCTTGTGCCAGTACCAGGCTGTAATACACACTTTTTTAAAAGTAGCACTGTCCAATAAAAATTTCTAATTTTGTATTTCCTACCCTATTTCCCCAAAAATAAGACAGTGTCTTATATTAATTTTTTCTCCCAAAGTTGCACTAGGTCTTATTTTCAGGGGATGTCTTATTTCCGGGGAAACATGGTAGTAAACATGTTAAAAGGTAAAAAGCAGGTGAAATTAATTATGTTAATATATTTAACCCTGTATATAAAATGTTATATCAGTATAAAAAATTGAGCCAGGCTGGTGTGGTTTAATGGTTGAGTGTCAACCTAGAACCAGAAAATCATGGTTAGATTCCCAGGCAGGGCACAGGCCCAGGTTGCGAGTTTGATTCCCAGTAGGGGCATACAGGAGGCAGCTGATTGATGTACCTATCTCATTGATATTTCTGTCTCCTTCTCCCTTACCTCTGAAATCAATAAAAATACATTTTTTTTAAATGGTAACATAAATTCTTAGGGGATCAGTTAATAAGCTATGATACATCGAAGTGATATATGCAGCCTTAAAAATAGGCTACAAAATAGCATAAATGGTATGATTAGCTACTTAAAAATAAATTAGTGGATATATCATAGAAAACATATTTAGGGAGTTATGTACCAAAATAACCATCCAGTTGTCTCTTAATGAAAAATTACTAGTTATTTTTTCTTTCTTTAACTATATTTTCTTAATTTTTTGTAATGAGCAATTTTATAATTAGGTGGAAAATGATAAAACTTTTTTTTTAAAGAACTGAATAAGAGTAGTGTTTACAATCGCTACTAGAGCACTACCATTTATGAATAGAGGCAATCCCACATTATCTAGCATAAGGCTTTGTAGGTGGTGGGCTCTTGAGCAAAAATTGAATACTCCAAATATATTTATATTGTAAAAAATATTAAAATACTACATCTCTTTAAATCTCCCATATATCACTCCCAAAGTGTGATATGTAGTATTACTATCATGTGAAAAGATGTCATATGTGAGATATTCAAAACTTTTTTTATCTTAATAGTTACATATTTAGAACAAAACTAATATTTAAAATTTAATCTTAAAATATTCAATTTAATGAAAAATATTGGTGATATTAACAACCATGAAAATGGCATGAAATGACTAATGCTTAATAAATATTGCAATAGTTGTTAGTCATAGGCCCCCAAGATGTTATTTCTGAGCATGTTGATTAAAAGAGAATTCTGATGCTTACCTTCCAGTAAAATTTTTTTCACCATTATAATGGTGTCTTTCTAATCCTATATATAAAACTTACAATACTGCCTTCTTTCTATTCTTTCATATCTACTGCCTAGTTATTTTTTTATTACTACTCTTTTTTGGCACTAAAATAAAAGCTTATTTCCTACTTTTCCTCTTCAAAAAGTCCTTTACACTTAGTTTCAGATCAAATGGCAACTTTTGAAGCCTTTCTTATAAATACCTCTCAGCAGGCAAATTTAGATGTGTCTTTCTCAGCCGCTCCCTGGTGGTCTAGTGGTTAGGATTCGGCGCTCTCTCAGATGTGTCTTTCTCTGTTGTACTTTAGCATGTAGCTTCATAAATCATCAAACAATTTCTTTTTGTTTTTAAACTCATCAAAAGCATGGGGTCATATTACAAATCATCTCCCTTTCCCCTTTCCCTAGCTCAATGCTTTATACATAGTAAATATTTAATAAGTATTTGGTCAATGAATGACTATTATAAGACTACTAGTGGCCCAATGCATGAATGAAGATTTGTGCAAGAATGGGCCTTCCTTCCCCTGGCTGTGGGCATCACCTTTGCTCTGGCCAGAGCCGCATTTTCGCTCTGGCTGAGCTGCCTTTCTGCCTTCCTGTGCTGTCCAGAGACCCCCATGGGGTGGTGCAGAATGCCTGCGTCATTGCCCCATCCTTGGCCACTCAGCACCTGTATATGCAAATTAGCCTGCCATGTTTGTTGGGCTAATTTGCATACCCCTAACTGGCTGGTGAATGTTGTGAAGATATGATCAATTAGCATGTTACTCTTTTATTAGGTGGGATAGGACTACCCTGCCTTGATAGCTCGGTTGGTATGTCATCCCGTACTCCAAAAGATTGTGGGTTCAATTCCTGGTTAGAATACATACCTAGGTTGTGGGTTCAACCCCTAGGTTATAGTAGGCAACCAATCAACATTTCTCTCTACATATTGATGTCTCTCTAAAATTAAATATATATACAGGCAGTCCTCAGGTTATGTTAGAGATCCGTTCCTATGGCACGACTTAATGCAATTTTTGCCCTAATTCGGAACCCACCAACATAAGCACCTGCATCACTCACATGGAGAACATACATGAAGTGAAACAGTAAAAATAATTTAATAGAAAGATAATTTCTGACCTTCACTTGTGGTAAATAAGTAATAAAAAAACATAAAGCACATATGTACATACGTTGAAATGATGGAACTTTTTTTTAAAATAAATACTGTAAGTGGGAGATGGCAACGTAACCACGAAATGATGTAAGTCAAGTTCGACGTAACCCGAGGACTGCCTGGATATGGGGTGTGTGTGTGTATATTCTTACACACACATATATCCATCCTTTAGTGAGGATTTTTTTTTTTTTTTAATTACAGGACCAAGAGCTAAGTTCCAATTTTATGCCTACTCTTAAACTAAGTTCCAACTTAAAGATTAACAAAACATATAAGATTTATCTATATGTACACACAAACAGTAGGTGCACATGATTGTTTTAGAAATAGAAAATGAGTCCTTTCAGAATTATGAGGGATGAAAATACCTAATTTAGGAGAAATCAGTCTTTCACTCTTCATAATTGCTAACTAAGTTTGTTACAAAGTTCAAGATTTAGCAGGAAAGTTAAAATTATTATTTCACTTTTTTCAGAGGTGATGTTAGTCATATCACAACTCCTATTATCACTACACATAAATGAGTCAAAATTTTTATTTAGTCAACAGCTACAAACCATTGGTCTTCTTGCTATGTTTTCTAAGATGACTCAAAGGTACTTGTAATTCAACATATCCAAAAGTTAACTCATAATCTGCCTCTACCAAACAAACAAATTAGTTCTTTTCCAACATTGGTTGTTTATCTGTTCAGCTAGATCTGCAGGCCAAAAGGTAGGACTCATCTTTGACACTTCCAAAACTTCTTTGCCCCGTACTAAACCCGTCACTAATCACTATTAGTTTTACTTCTTAATTGACTCTGAAGTCAGAAGTGACTCCATTCTCTTCTCTACATTTCTGCTCCCACCAACTTAGTGCTATCTTCATTTCTTGCCATGAGTACTAACTACACTTCTCTATTCACACCTACTGTGGACTCCCTCAAGTCAAGTTTTCTATAGCTTAGTCAAGGTGTTCTTTTCAATATGCAAATCTGATGTCTTTCCTTCTGAAAACATGTGGCTTCTCATTACTTTACAACAAGGTCGAAACCTTCTAAATAGTTTTGGTAACACTTTAGTTTAATTATTGCTTGGCTCCTAGCTATCTGCAATCTAGACATGCTTTTCAGCTTTTTTCTATTAGTGGATTTTTCCATATAATTTTCTGTTTGGAACATATCCCTAATCTATTTGTCAAGCCCTTTTACTTAATCCCTCTTCATCCTTCAAGTAGCAACACATAGCATTATATAACACTCCTACTTGGTACCTATCCTAATTATAATTATATTTTTAATGTGTAGTTTAAATTTTTTTATTGATTGATTGATTTTAGAGAGAGAAAACACCAATTTGTTCTTCCACTTAGTTATACATTTATTGGTTGATTCTTGTGTGGTGCCCTGACCAGAGGTTGAACCTGTAACCTTGGTGTGTTGGGACATGCTCTAATCAATTGAACTACCCAGCCAGGGCCTAAATGTGTATTGATATGATTAATTTCATTTGATCAGTATCTGTCCATCTATCTTCTTCACTCAACTGGAAGTTCATTGAGGGCATTGATTGCTTCTCTTTTGCCAATGATTCTACTGTATATTGAGCACCTACTACGTAGCAGGCACTTCATAAATATTGAATGAATCTATGAATCTACTTATATCACCTCGCATATACAGGGTGTCCCCAAAAAATGAGTACACGCCTTAACAGCTGATAGCTCAATTTTGAAAATGAAATTTATTTAACAAACACTGCCTTTGTAATTATTCAAAGTATATGTATACATTTTTTAAGAAAAATGTCATTTTTATTAGCATCAGAAATATACAAAGTCCTTGGGAGTTGCCTTAAACATGACCTTTATGAACTAAACTATAACACTGGATAAATTTGAACCTTAATTTTGAGATACCATATTATCCATATATATAAAAGCCCAGTGACCTGAATGGTGGAACGGCCAGAATGGAACGGTAGCTATGATGTGCACTGCGGCAGCCAACTGGCCTGACCCAGGCCCCAATTGGCCTGCCCCCACTTCTCACCAGCCCGGCCCCCTATCAGCCCCCAATATCCCTATCAGGAGTGGGGCCGGCCCAGTGGAGGGGCCATGGCTTGCCCCACCCCTGATTGGCTCCCATTGGTGCGGCCTGGCCAGACCACACCCATGCACGAATTTGTGCACTGGGCCTATAGTTAGTAATAATGTTAAGATTTCTATTAAGTAACCGGGTTAGGCATGAATTTTCCTGAATTTATATTTTTCTCTAGTCTCTTTTATAGAAATAATATTTTTACTGGTTTTGAGGTTGAAATAACTTGGATTCAATTTAATTCCATGTTTATATTAATTTCTCCCTCATTTAATCTTTTTGCAGGGGTTCCACTCTCAGTGGCAAGACACAATGATTGTAATGAAAACTCACCGGGTAAAAAGATGTTTGATAAAGATGTTCTGGAGGAAGATTTAGAAAGCACTAGTGAAATAGGAAATGATGAAGAATCTGAAGATGGGGTTACAGGCATTGATAGAGCTTCAGCTGATGAGGATAACAGTGATGAAAATGAGGAAGATGAGGATGAAAATGAGGAAGATGAGGATGAAAATGATGATAGTGAGGATGATGATGAAAGTGAGGAAGATGAGGACGAAAATGGTGATAGTGAGGATGATGATGAAAGTGACAGTGGCCCTGATCTTGCGAGAGGTAAAGGAAATATAGAAACTAGTTCCGAAGATGAAGAAGATATGGAAGATTTACTTCCAGAGGAATCTGGTTTTGAGCATGCTTGGAGAGAACTAGATAAAGATGCTCCTCGGAGTGATGAGGTAATGTTTTGAATAAATAAGATAATTTGTGAAGAGTGGAAAATGCTTTATTGCTAAATAATAACTGTGATTCTGATGAAAACCTCTTGGTGTCTGTCTTAAGCAAATAAGGAAGTTCTACATAAATAATTTAATATTACATAAAATTATTAGAAAAATAATTTGATTTCAGATACCATTGCATTTATTACTCAACTTGTTTATGCAAGAGTGGCAAAATAGCAAACTTGGTAGTGAAAAAATCAGATCATTATCATGTTCTTATTCAAGTTAAAGGAAATGTTTATCTGTTGCAGTTTTACTATTGTGTGAGTTGAAGTTCTCTTTTTTTTTATTTCTTAGATTACACGTCGATTAGCAGTTTGCAACATGGACTGGGATAGATTAAAGGCAAAAGATTTGCTGGCTCTGTTCAATTCATTTAAACCTAAAGGAGGTGTTATATTTTCTGTCAAGGTGAGAATTGTTTTTATTTTGAAGTATTATAAATATTTCCAAACATTTAACTTCATTCTCATTTTTTTTTAAATTATAGTTTTCCTTGTAAAGGAAATAATTTATTTGGAAGTTATTTGATACAGTTAGGTATGAAATTGATATAGCAGGTATAGTAAAAGTTAGAAACAAAGAGGTGAAATTGTTACTATTGATGGGTTATGTGATTGTATATAATTAAAAAACCCAAACAAATCAATAAAGATGTTATCAGCTCAGTAAAGGGGTGGGGTATAAGATAAATATTTTAGAAATAAATTGCATTCTTTATTACCAGCATTAACCAATTAAGAAAATATCTAATATAGCATCAGGAACATACAAAATCATTGAGAATTGCCTTAAACACATGACCTATATGAAATAAACTATAATACTGGATAAATTTGAAAAACCTAAATTTTGAAATACCATATTTTAGAGAGCGAACATTATGATTAAGAATCCAGGCTTTGCAGTACCACAGATCTTTGTTCATATCTTTTTGTTTGTTTGTTGCTCTTTTGTTGTTCACATCTTGATTCTGATAAATACTATTTTCTAGTGTAGTTGTAAGGATCCAATGAAAAGGATGTCACACTGAGTATTTACAATAGTACAGTGCCTGAAGCAATTCTAAATAATTATATTTAATTATTTAAGATGTTAGCTCTACAGTTTTAGTGTAGTTTCGATCAAAATCTCATTTCAAGAGAAAGTTAAGGAAAAGGATACCAGTATCATATAAAAGAATAAACAAGTAAAGATGACTAATAAATTTTTGAGAAATCATACCAGAATAAAAGGACTCTACCATTATAATTTCTATGCACTTTATAATGCTATGAGAATTAACTAGTTTGGGTAAAAATAAGGGGACAAATAAATAGAATGGCATAGATAAAAGGAGTTTAAATGATGAGGTAGATCATGTCATTGGGACAAGTCTTTGCATAGAAACTTGGTGGGGACTTATGAGAGCCCCAAATAAACTCCAGTTAAAGTAAAGGGAAAAAAAATTAAAAACCAAATTACAGAAATAGAATTGTGTTTTTATTAAATCTTGAGTTTTAGGAGATTGGTAGTAGAAATTTCTACACTTAGAAAAGAAAGCACTCACAAAAAGAATCAACAGATGTGATTACATATATATTTTTAAATTCTACATCAAATCCTATTATATGCAACAAAAAGAATTAAGAAAAACTCACCCCCAGTTGATAAATTGCATATTTCCCACAATTCCAAAAAAATATATATTAGTTAAATGTATATTAAGCCTAGCAGTGACAAGACAATGTAAATTAATATAATTATATTTTATTTTATTTTTTTAATCTTTATTGTTGAAAGTATTATATAGGTCCTCCTTTTTCCCCCATTAACTTCCTCCAGCCCAGTCCCGTCTCCTTCTACCCTCCCCCCATACATACAGTTATATTTTTTGACTCAAAAGTAGTCAAAATATAAAAATACCAAATCCTAGTGAGGATGAATCCTTTTTCTTATACCAAGACTATATATATCTAATGTACATGATAAGACTGTCATGTAAGTTTGCCTTTCTATTAAAAGGAATGTCTTTTAAAAAAGCATTGAATAAATTATGTGACTTAGAGATAAGGTAGGTATTACAAAATTGTTTTTTCTTCATTATGTTTTATACTAGAGGCCCAGTGTATGAATTTGTGCACAGTTGGGGTCCTTCAGGGTGGCCTGTGGAGATTGGGCCCCAGCTCACGCCCCCAGTCTTGCAACCCCTCAGCCCCACCTGGCACCTCACCTTGGCCTGGTGCCACCTGCTCACCTGCTCAATCCCACCGAGGTCCCACTCTTGTTGGGGCCAATTGGGGCTGGCAGTGCCTCTACTGCTGCCCTCTGCCAATGCTGCATCACCAATGCCTACCATGTTCCACACTGCCCCCTGGTGGTCAGTGCATGTCATAGTGAGCGGTCAAACTCCTGGTCTCCTGGTCAAATGACTGCCTGAGGGGACAATTTGCATAGTAGGCTTTTATTACAGAGGGCTATAGGCCCAGTGCACAAAATTCATGCATGGGGGTGCGTCCCTCAGCCCAGCCTGCACCCGCTCCAATCTGGGACCCCTCAAGGAATGTCTTACTGCCGGTTTAGGCCTCATCCCTGCAGATATCCCTATCGCAATCCAGGACCTCTGGCTCCCAACTACTCGCCTGCCTGCCTGTCTCATCACCCCTACCATTCTACTGCCTTCCTCATTGCCCCTAACCACTCGCCTACTTGCTTCATTTCCCCTAACTGCCTTGCTTGCCAGCCTGGTCATCCCCTAACTTAGGGGTGTCGAACTCAATCAGAGAAGGGGCCAATATCTAAAATCCAGCCTAAATCGTGGGCCGAATGGTTTACTGAACAGTCATAAACTGTCATTGTGATGGAAACGCAGCGGAGTGCAGTGATGACAGCGCGGTGCGGGCCACATTGCAAGGCCTGGCGGGACGGATTTGGCCCGCGGGCCTTGTGTTTGACACATGTGCACTAGTCCCCTGCCAGCCTGGCTACCTCCTAACTGATCCCCTGCCGGCCTGGCCAGACCCTAACAGCCCCCCTGCTGGCCTGGTCACCCACTAACAAGTAGAGTGGTTAGGGGCGATCAGGCAGGCAGACAGGTGAGCTGTTACACAAAATATACAGTCATTTTTTATGTGTATATTTACATTGAGTTCCTTTAGAATCTTATTTTTTGATAATGTTTTTTTTTTTTAATTTTTCCTTTGGAGCCCTGAACCATCTTGTCCCAGTTGATAAATAGAGGAGATATTCTATTTTTTGTTCTCAAATCCCACATCAGTTACTCTCCAGCCAAAATGATTATTTTTAAGGAGATTCCGCAGGATGCTTTAGCTTCCTATAGTGGGCTTGGAAGTGAGGCAACCTTGCTGTTTTCATTGAGTCCAATTGTAAATTGGAGTTACTGACCTTAATAGATCTGGATGTTGAAAGAAAAGGAAAGTATAAATTGCATTGATTTATTTTTTCTATTTTTAGATATATTTTTCAGAGTTTGGAAAAGAAAGGATGAAGGAAGAGCAAGTTCAAGGACCAGTCGAGTTATTAAGTATTCCTGAAGATGCCCCTGAAAAGGACTGGTATTAAATTACTATAGATAATAAAACTAAACCTTATGTTACTAATTTAGAATTCTGGTCACTTTAAAAGTTAGGACTAAAGTTTACACATGCCATTTATAGTTAAAACAACTTGCAAAGCAGATTAAAATCTGTCAGAAGTGGCATACTATTCCTACAATATTTTGTGTATGTATTACTGTTTCTGTATTCATTAAAATAATTATTGCTTTTTCTGGGATGTATCTTTCCACATAAGTGGCATTGAAACTATTTGTCTTTAAGCTATGTAATTTTTCTAATTTGAATATTAAATTCAAAAATAAAAGATTGTTAACAACTTTGTCACTTGAACATAATATAGAAAAAAAATTAACATAGTTTTGAAACCACTAGGTGGAGCTATGTGTGCGCTTAATAAAAATGATGGTTCAGTACTATATTATTGGAGGCAGAAGAGAACAGATGGAGATGCTCTTCATAACTAGAACTATTGCTTTCCTAGTATAATTTATAATTCAATGCTTGTCCATCAGTTTTATTTGAGGGTATTTAAGGTACCAAAACAAACAAAAACTAAAATAATAGGTAAGCACTTGTAATTTGTATACTCTCCTTTTCTAGATACCAAATGCCAAAGAAAATACCTAGTTTGTACCTTGTCAGAATAATAAATTGAACTTAAGTGTTTAATGTTCATAAAGGCAAAGTCATGAAGGAAGAAGAGATTGGTATGAAGGTTATAATATATATATTTTGAAACAATTGCATTTATTTCTTAAATGTGGATAATTATTTGTGTTTCTATATAAGTAACCTTAATGAGTTTTTCCCTTTTTAGGACCTCTAGAGAAAAATTGAGAGATTACCAATTCAAACGACTAAAATACTATTATGCAGTAGTAGACTGTGATTCCCCTGCAACAGCCGCTAAACTCTATGAGGATTGTGATGGCCTGGAATTCGAAAGTAGTTGTTCCTTTGTAGATCTGAGGTAATCCTGAGTGTCTCTTATCAATTTAACCTTGTAGTAAATGTGATTATAACAAAATATTAAAACTGGTAGTGCTTTGTATTGTTGCATGCTCTTTATATGTTTTTTATTTATTTCAGAGAGAAAGAGAGAGGAAGAGATAAACTTCAATAATGAGAGCGAATCATTGACTGGCTGCCTCCTGCACACCCCCTACTGGGGATCAAGCCCGAAACCCAGGCATGTGCCCTTGACTGGAATCTCACCTGGAAGATTGAGATTCACAAGCCAGTCCACAAGCCAGCGCTCTATCCACTGAGCCAAACCCGCTAGGTCCATATTCTCTTTTTTTAAAAAAATATATATATATTGATTTTAGAGAAGAAGGGAAAGGGAGAGAGAGATAGAAACATCAATGAGGAGAGAGAATCATTTATTTGCTGCCTCCTGCACTCCCCACATGGGGGATCAAGCCTGCAACTGGACATGTGCCCTGACTAGGAATTGAACCATGACCTCCTGAGTCATAGGTTGATGCTCAACCACTGCACCATACCAACTTGCTATTTCATATTCTAAAAGAGGATTTTTTTCTTTTGGAAGAACTCTGTCCTGTGGAACATCACTCTTAAGAAAGAAAACTACATTCGGCCAGTGTGGCTCAATGGATGAGCATCAACCTATGAACCAGGAGGTCACAGTTTGAGTATTAATCACATCTGGCTATTTAAATTTATTGAATTAAAAATTTAAAAATATTCCCTGGCCAGTTTTGCTCAGTAGTTAGAGCACATGTGTCAAACACAAGGCCCGCGGGCCAAATCCGTCCCGCCAGGCCTTGCAATGTGGCCCGCACTGCGCTGTCATCACTGCACTCCGCTGCGTTTCCATCACAATGACAGTTTATGACTGTTCAGTAAACCATTCGGCCCGCGATTTAGGCTGGATTTTAGATTTTAGCCCCTTCTCTGATTGAGTTCGACACCCCTAAGTTAGAGCATCAGCAGGAGGACCAAAGGGGCGTGGATTTGATTTCCAGTGTAGGGCACGTAGCTCGGTTGCAGGTTCCAAACCCAACCCTCGTCAGAGAGCCCCACCAGTTGATGTGTCTGTCTCACATCACTGTTTCTCTTTCTTTCCCTCCTCCCAATCACCCTCCCTTCCACACTCTCTCTTCTAAAGATCAATGGAAAAAATGGGTAAAGATTTTTTTTTTAAAGTTTAAATACTTAACTGGCAGGGAAGATACCATCATTATGTAGGTGGTTTTCCCAAGGCAAGGTTTATCCATTGCATTCCGGATGTGCTGACCCCTGCAATTTCCCCAAATGTGTGAGAAACTCAGTTGCATAATTTGTGGTAGTGGAGGACTGCGAAAAAAACATTTCTTTTCAACTGAAAATTTATTTGCTTATATACAGAACATTGCCATCATCACAGAAAATTCTGTTGAATAACACTGCTCTAAGTGCTGCTCAGTGAAAGAGTGGATGGAATTGCTGGTATTGTCTTTAGACTTGGGCATTATTTTCACTGTGTGCTCAGGCTTCACTGACCCAGAGGTGAAAAACCTTAGGTGGTTGTGACTGCCAGTCCTAACTACTCTACCACTTTGTCATTATCCTAGTCCTTTGGAACCCAGAAAACCATTCTACTGTGACACTTTTCAATAGAAACTATTATATATCTTTGTATGCAAGTTTGTTAGAGGCTTTGTTCTCAAAATGAAATATTTTAGGGGGAAAAATACATCAGTTCTTAGTCACTATGACTTTCATACTTTAAAGCAGCGGTCGCCGACCTTTCAGACCTCACGAACTACCAGTTGGTGACAGCTGCTCCAAAGGTTTCCTTAAACCAGAGGTTGCCAACCTTTCGGACCTCATGGACCAACAGTGGTCTGCGGACCACTGGTTGGCAACTGTAGAAAAATACAAATAAAAAATTTAGAATTGATATTTGTGGTAAGATTTTAGCATGCTTAAATATATAGCAAGAAGGGCATATCTCATGAGACAAGCTATTTTCTTATATGTTAACAATTTCAATAGGAGGTGCTTGTTTTGAATGTTTAAATAGTAGTTACCAAATATTTGTTAGAATGTCAAACTTTGGGTATCATGAATTAATGTTAACATGTTCTTTTCAGGGTGGTTCTGTCTTTCTGTTTCTTCTTTGGGACATTTCTATGCAGTGTTAGAATAAGCTGTGGCAGTGCCTAGAAAGTCAAATTAATGACCATGGAAAAACTTTATATTCACTGTTTTATTTTGTCATATGTAAAAGAAAATAGAATTTTCTGCTGCAATCCTGTTATCTAGGGAAAACTCTTTTCATCTGCTCCAAAATATAATAGCATGCATATAAGTAACAGTTAAGTATAGTAGTCTCAAAAACAAATCTAAGTGTGTGCAAAAGTATAGCTGGAGGATGTTATGTAGACGTAATAAACCTCAATTATCCACTCCTCACCCCCAAAAATTATTTTATGGAATATACAGCATATGCTTTTCTTGTGAAATTAAAATTTCTTATATAAATGACAAAAGCTAAATACTGTAACCATGAATTATTTAACTCTACTTCCCCTGCGCCCTTAATTCCTTAGCCTAATGCCCAAGAATTGTGTAACAATTATTTACATTTAACAGCTATCTACTTGTAGAAAAAATTGCAAGATAAGATTGTTAGGATTTTTTTTAGTCTTGAAGAATTAACTTTAAGCTTTTCCTTATTTCAGTGACACCTCATGTATATGATACTTTATATTTCAGAACATTTAGTATTAATAATTCTATTTGATCTTCAAAATATTATGTAGCAAGCCAATGGCTGTGCTTTCAGGAGCCTAGTTCTTTTTGAAACATGAGGGACCCATGTGTGTTTGCACCTGACTCATATTAGCTGATTCCTAATGCAGGGTTTCTACCTACACAGAGTTCACTTAAATTTAATAGAATTACAGATTTATAGCTTATGAATTTCAGAAGTTTTGTGCCAAGGTTATTTCTAACATTGTTTGCCTCATCTACATGTGTGTTCTGTAGAAACTTTTATATGGTATATATGTATAAACTACCACTAATTAGAAGAGATTCTAAACTCTGGTTGTTTATTACTGTAGCATATGTTTAAATACATTTATTTTCTCTTTGTTTCTTAGGTTTATACCAGATGATATTACTTTTGATGATGAGCCCAAGGACGTAGCCTTAGAAGTGGATTTAACAGCATATAAACCAAAATATTTCACATCTGCTGCAATGGGAACGTCAACGGTATTTCTTAACTTTTAAAAATGTGTAGCTGGACTCTGTTGTTTTAAGAAAAGACTTCGTGTACTATTTACTGTAGAACCTTTAGAAATGGACAGTATTCGAAATTTTAGTGCATAAGTATAAATAGAAATGAGACAAAAGTGTATTTGTATTTTTATCTACCACATTTGTCTGAACCTATTTACATACTTTTTTTGTGCTTTTTTTAAGCCCAAGTCAGTTATCTGCGAATATTTCTTTTTTTTCTCTCTCTCTTTTTCCCACACACTTCTTAATCAACTAGATTCTTTAATAAATAATTTGTCAGTTATTAATATCCTAGGGAATAGTGAGAAGGAGGTAGTGTAAAGATTACCTCAAATTCTAGTTAAAAGAAGACTAGTGGAAATTTAAAATAGAAACACATTTTTTTCTGCAAATATGATCCAAAATTGTAAAAAATAATTGAAGAAGAATAATTCAGGACTACTAGATGTCACATTAATGCTTAATAATACACAGCCAAAAGATTTCTATTGAATTAGCTTACTACATACCCTCTCCTCTTCCCCCCATTAACTTTCTGTCCTCAGCTGGACCCCACAGAAGGCATATAGGCTTCTCACTTCGTTTCTTGTGACAAACCATCATGCTCTTCTGAGAACAGGCTGGTAGCAGAGAGAGGGGCTTCTGTATCAGGTGCATGTCATGCATGCTGTGGTGATTAGTATAACACCACCATTATGAATAAGTGAAGACTAAAAGATTCAGTCACATAAAATGTAGAGCCATGTTATTTTAAGACTAAAATGTGACCAGAGCAAGCCTGTACAGTCAGCCAGTCTGGAGTTCCTAGGGTCTGGCTGTATTATATATATCTGTCCCAGTTCCAGCAGTAGTTTTGTGGTCATCAGCTCAAGCTTAATTATCAGGATGGAGATACAGTTCTGAATCTTGTGACTAGTTAGAACCAAGGCAATGCTAGCTCTTTTAAGGATCGGATTCCTTGGTTAATTGGTGCCCATTTTGTTGTCCTGACCTGGGGATATTAGTCTGAGGAAAGAAAATAATGATGTAGAACCCATTCTGTTATGAAGATAAAAACATTATGACCCCATCTGGGAATGGGAGTTGCATAGAGGACAGGAGCCAGTTACCAGATCCATCACGTTATGGATGAGTTCCTGTAACGAACTTAGTTAATGATAAATATTCTCTGTTTTATTGTTATTGATTAGAGAGAGAAACATCAATTTCTTGTTCTACCTATTTTTGCACTCATTGGTTGCTTCTTCTATGTGCCCTGGCCAGGGTTTGACCCTGCAATCTTGGCATATTGGGATAATGTTCTAACCAATTGAGCTACCTGGCCAGGGCAATGATAAATAGTTTTTAACAAGTTTGACATTTCGTTTTTACTTGTGTTTTTTTGTTGTTGTTGTTGTTTTTTTTTGTGTGTGTGTTTTTGTTTTGTTTTGTTTTGTTTTGTTTTTTTCATTGGTGAAAGGTTGAGATCACTTGGGATGAGACTGATCATGAAAGAATTACCACACTCAACAGGAAGTTTAAAAAGGAAGAGCTTTTGGACATGGATTTTCAAGCCTATTTAGCTTCCTCTAGTGAAGATGAAGAGGACATAGAAGATGGACTACGAGGTACTAACTTGTTAATCTTCTGGTGTTCTACACTTGTAAGCATTATTTATATACCTAATCTAGACTTGTGAATGGAAATATATCTTAGGCAGTAGCTTAAAAGGGAATACCAAACTAATTCTTAAACTGTCTACAAAGTTTAGTAATCGTAATTTTTATTAAAAATTATTTTCTTGGTTGCAAATGCTTTAACCTTAAACATTTCCTTTAAAACTTGAACAAAATAGATCCATAGACATAGAAGCATGGAACAGACTGTGGAACCTCAGAGGGAAGGTTGGGAAGGATGTGTGGGTGGGAAGAGATCAACCAAAGAACTTGGATGCATATATGCATAATTCATGGACACAGACAATAGGGTGGTGAAGGCCTAGGGTGGGGTGGTCTATAGAAGGTCAATGTGGTGGGGGGAGGGATGGGGATATATGTAATACTTTCAACAATAAAGATTTAAAAAAATAATTTTTTTTGACCTAACCAAAAAAGCTTGGTTTGTAGACTTGTCATGGTTCATATATTATAGTTATACAGTCTCTTAATAAATTAGTAAAATACTTTACTACTCTGTTTTTGTGTTGTTGTTTTTAAAATAAGAGCTTCTTTTGGATTGAATATTTTTTACATTCTATTCCTCAACTGATTTAGAAAGTAGACTCTGCTTTTGTTTATTTAGCAATTGTCCTAGAAATCATGACTTACATCCCTAACTTAGAAAATATTTTTACTACTCTATATTATACAAGAAATCTTAAAGCAACTTTTATGGTATCCTGTGTATTGTAATTGTTTTGGGTTGTTGTTTTTTTCATTCTCATAGACATTAATATTACTATTTTATACTACCTTTGTTTAAATTTACCCATATTTCCTCCACTTTTTCCCCCTCTGTATTCTTTTCTAAATCTTGTACTTCTGTCTGGTATCATTTTTCTTCTATCTTAAGTAAATCCTTGGTAATTTCCTATAATATCATCTGGTATCAAACTCTCTTGAGTTTTAGTCTAAAAGTGTCTTTATTTTGCCTTCACTTGTATTTTTACCAGTGAAGGTATTTTCACTGGTAAAACATTCTAAATGGACAGTCCTTTGCAACAGTATTCTGGCTTTATTATTGTTTTTGAGAAATCAGCTATCAGCTTAGCTTTTTCAGTCTTTTGAAGGTTGTCTGGATTTTTTTCTTTAACTGCTTTTAATGTCTTTCTTTCTGTCCTATAGTTTTACTGTAAACTAGAGTAGGTTTTATTTATTGTGTGTGGAGTCTGTTGGCATTTCTTGAATTTTGGCGTGGTATCTCTCATCAGTTTTGGAATATTCTTAGCCATTATCTATTGAGATATTTTTTCTTCCCTCTCCCTCTTGGATTCCAATTAAATATTTGATAAATCTTTTCACTCTTTCCATGTTTCTACTCTAATACACATATTTTTAAAAATATATTTTTATTGATTTTAGAGATGAAGGGAGAGGGAAAGATAGAAACAACAATGATGAAAGAGAATCATCAGTTATCTGCCTCTTGCACGCTCCCCTCACTCTCATGGGGACTGAGCCCACAACCTGGGTAAATGTGCCCTGACCGGGAATTGAACCATGACTCCCTGGTTCATAGGTCAATGCTCAACCATTCCAGCTAGTCTACTCTCCTATATTTTTATCTATTGTCTCTCTGTGTTGCATTCTGAGTATTTTCTTCAGACTTGTCTTCCAGTTCACTAATTTTCTTTTCAACAGTATTGAAAATGCTGATAAATCTATGCATTGAATTCTAATTTTGGTTATAGTATTCTTTATTTGTAAAGGTACTATTTAGCTATTTTCCAAATCAACGATACCTTTTTATAGTTTTCTTTTCACTGCAGATACTTTTAGCACTTTTATTTATTTATTTATTTTTAATATATTTTATTGATTTTTTTATAGAGAGGAAGGGAGAGAGATAGAGAGCTAGAAATGTCAATGAGAGAGAAACATCGACCAGCTGCCTCTTGCACACACCCGCTACCGGGGATGTGCCCGCAACCAATGTACATGCCCTTGACCGGAATCGAACCTGCAACCTTTCAGTCCGCAGACCAACGCTCTACCACTGAGCCAAACCGGTTTCGGCTACTTTTAGCACTTTTATTCCTGTAAACAGAGTAAGCATGTTTTATAGTCTTTATCTGTTAACTTCAGTATTTTAAATCTTTGGGGGTTGGTTTCTATTTACAAGATAATTCTGTTTCTTTGTGTGCCTGGTTAACTTTGTGAGCTGATTTGATATTTTAGATGAGAGTACCTCATCAAAGAGAGCCTTCATTTACTCTGGTCATTCTGGGGCCACATCACTGCATTTTAAGGCTTGAGGTTCCTTGGATTTTGAGGGTGATGCAGGCCTTCATGAGGGCTGGTTTATTTCTGTTTGGCCCTTGCTATGAAAATACATTTCTCTGGGGCCCTGCTTAATTCAGGGATACTAATTGAAATCCCCTCCTTTATGGTCATTAACTTTTGTCCTCATGGCATTGCCAGGCTACCTAAACTGTAGTTTAGTCCCACAGCTGTTTCTTTTGTGATCAGTAAATGCTTTCAGGTTAAAATAGATCTAAGGTGTTTTTTTAAAACCTCTTTGAAATTTTAAAAAAGATTTTTAAAGTATTTAATCCAACTGGATACTCAGTGAAAGGGTTTGTCTGAAGTACCTAGCTCGCCATTAATGGAAGCAGAAATTCTGATTATATCTTTATTTTTAAAATTGTTTGATGATTGAAAATGATTAAGGGTATATTTTAAAACTGTATATGCTATTTGCTTAAAGTAACTCATTTTTTGAAAAATAGATTCAAAACATTCTTTTTCCCTATACTGGATCAGGCTCTGTTTAGAAATTTGGTTGCTTGTCATTTTTAATCAGTTTTTGGTTGACACTATCTCCCCGATCTCTTCACATCTTCATTCTTCTTAATAATAGAATTCCCAATCACGCAAAATTAGGAGTAAGAGATTTGGTGCTGAGAACTACAAATGTGAAACAAAGATATAGATGTTCTAAAATAGCAGGAATAAGTATTATTTTATTTGTAGCTTAACTTTCATAGCTATCCTTTAGACTTTCCTTTACATAACTATTGTTTTTAGAACCTAAATGTGAATTTAATTAAATCCTAAAGTGTTTTTTAGGATTATTATAGGTCCTTTAAACATTAACTTTCTTAAGAAAGATCCTATGATTGGGCTATTATCATACTTTTAGCCTACTGCAGATATTGCTTCATTTTACTAAGTATTTCATAAAGTACTACTTTTATACTGTGTTCCATACATGACATGGAAAGTCATATTTAATTATTCTAGTTTCTTTGTTCAGACATCTCATTAATAAAATTGCATAATTTCTCAGGTATTTAATAGACATTGAAAAGATATATGATTCACAATGGTACTGATGTTGGTATTCCAAACAATTGGTATCCATTTTATTTCTAGTGTACACAGGACAGCCAAGTCCTTTTTCAAAAGTCCTTTGTCTTTTCTGCCCCTATATATACTAATGTGTTTACATTTTCTTTTTATTTGTATGCCTAAGTGGTCATTTAGCACTTTACTGAAAATTCTGGATAGTTTTTTGTTTTTGTTGTTTTTGTTTTTGTTTTTCACTAGCAGCTTTGAGATAAAGAAAGAGGACATTCCGTGTACACTTGTGAAGATTGGGTGCAAGTTTTCTAATAGCTTTCTTTGGTTTGAGACAGGGGTCCTCAAACTTTTTAAAGTGGGGGCCAGATCACGGTCCCTCAGAAAGCTGGAGGGCCGGACTGTATGAACTACTAATTCCTACTGTAACACCTCGGCTGCCCTCACTTCCCAAAAAACCTGGCGGGTCGGATCAGACTCCTCTGCGGGCCGCATGTGGCCCGCGGGCCATAGTTTGAAGACGCCTGGGAGAGAACTGAACTAGATTTTTTAAATGTCATTATTATTAGGACAGCTAGTATTCTTATTTTGATACTAAAGGCCTGGTGCATGGATTAGTGCACTGGTGGGGTCCCTCGGCCTGGCCTACAGAGTTCAGACCGAAACCAGCTCCCAACATCCCTCAAGAGGTCCCAGATTGCAAGAGGGGGCAGGCTATCCTTAAGGGAAGCATAGATGCACGTTTTGGCCCGGGGAGGGACTAAGGAAGTATCCAGCCCATCTTGCTCAGTCCCGATTGGCTGTATCCCAGCAGCAAGCTAGCCTACTGGTCGGAGCATCTATCCCCTGGTGGTCAGTGCGCGTCATAGCGACCAGTCAAACAAACGGTTGGACACTTAATATATTAGGCTTTTATTATATAGGATTGGGCTCTGCTGGTTTCAAGTAGTGTCTTTATGACATAGTTAAACTATTATATGTTTTCTTAGCCTCTGCCTTTTTTCCATAGCTATAAGATGAGAGTCATAATAGTACCTGGCTCATGGTTGGAAAGATTGCAATAATATACATATAATGCTTAGCATATTACCTCATGTCATATTTTTTTACTTCTAAAACTTTAAGGATTAATGGCTTTTTGTGTGAAATATACTATCATTAAGTTATTTAAAGCATGCCTTTTCCTGCAGTATTTGAATTGATTGCAAGCTTACTTGAATCTGTAATTTAATACCTCTGTTAGATACAATAGTATATTTGAATGCCTTAAACTTATTAGATGTTCCTGGTGTTGTTTGTAAAAGATCATAGGAGGGCTTCTTACTGTTACAATTAATTTGTTCACTCATTATATAGTATTAAGGCTTTCACAAAGTATTGTCCTTGAATTGGGAAAAAGCAGACCTACATGAATTATCCCACATTCTAGGGCTTCAGAAAATAAATTTTAGTACTAGAAAAAATCAATTTAAAGTAGGCCATCAGAGACTTACCACTAAAATTTCAACCTGGAAGGAGCTTGCTTCTAATTATGTTTTCAGAAGTAAGCTTTTAATAGAAAGAAATACATTGCCATTTTGTTAATGTGTTCCTGATGTTTTATCCATTGAATTACGGGATACATGACAGAATTCAATCCAACATTATTATTGTGGCACAAAGCACAAACAGGAAAAAAATGAATTTCAGCTGTTTGAGTGAAAATGTAAAAGTGTGATAGGATGGAAAGAATGTCCTGGACTATTTTTTATTCATTTAGAGAAAAAAACTAAAAACATTTACTTAACCAATCTTTTTTCCATATCACCTTTTTAAAGATGTAAGGACAGTATGTTAACATGGATGTTTCACAGCTATGTGCTTAGTAATGTCAGGCATTTTTAGTTACCATTTAGTCATAGCTCATAGAAAAGAGGGTCTTCTTTTTGCTACTTCTAAATTTTTCTTTACTCAGACATTTAGTCCATTCAGTAAGTCTGCATGTTTTGCATTAAAACCCAGGTTCTTAATTTATGGTTTTGCCTTGGAGAATTACAGTGGAAATGTAGAGCAAACAAACTTTTCACGTATTGGTTTTCTTTGGTATTTGTTGCCCATGAGTTTTATACTGTTCCTTTGTATTCTAATTATTTTTATAAAATCAGGAAATGGAAATGTGAATGTTTTTTTCCACAGGGAAATTGAGTAAACTTGTAACGTTCATTTTTGTTAATGTATTAATAAGATCCTGAGAATCATCATATAATACTTGCTCACCATCAAATCAAAAGGACTCATTATTCTTTGTTTTGGATTATAAGCAACTTTATTTGTCTCTTCAGCCTGCACAGCTAAGTTCATGTGTCAGATGTATCCCAAAAATATTTAGTCTTCTTCATTGACCATAACATTTTGGTGGATGGTGGACAACATAAAAGAAAGATAAAATGCTATCCCTGCTGTTTTGCTTATAGGGAACATAAATTTGAGGATGTTACCTGACTACAGAATTATTTTTAGATATTAATTTTAATAAAAAGTGATATTCCCAAGTGCTATGACAGTGCTAACTTATATTGCAACTGATTTTAAGACATAAGTTTTAATTCAGTTCATTTAATATTAAGAAGATTAAGTCTGTCCTGGCTGGTATAGCTCAGTGCTTGAGCATCAATCCACGTACCAGGAGGTCACAGTTCGATTTCCTCAGGGCACATCCACCAGGTTGTGGGCTCAATCCCCAATAGGGGGTTTGCAGGAGGCAGCTGATCAATGGTTCTCTCTCATTATTGATGTTTCTATCTCTTCCTCTCCTTTCCTCTCTCTGGATCAATAAAATAAAAAATAAATAAAAAAAAAAAGTTTGTCTAGTTTTTATATTCTATTATTACAGTATGTCTGATAGCATTTTACCTGAGGGTGCTGAATTGACTGAGATTTAAACATTGGAGTTAGATGTAAATTATTTCTGGACTAGAGACCTGGTGCATGAATTTGTGCACAGGTGGGGTCCCTCGGCTTGGCCAGTGATCTGCCATCTCATCCAGTCCTAATCAGGGCTGGCCGCGAGGAGGGCCCGTGAGGATTGGCCGACAACGGGAGGTTGGCTGTGGAAGTGCACTGACCACCGGGAGGCAGCTACTGCATTGAGTGTCTGCCCCCTGGTGGTCAGTGCCCATCATAGCTACTGGCTGGTCATCCAGTTGTCTGGTCATAACAGTAGCTTAGGCTTTTATATATATACTAGAAGTCCATTGCAAGAAGATTCCTGTAATAGGGCTTCCTGCTGTAGTCTTGCCTGCTTTCCTTCCTTCTCCCCGGGCCTGCCTGCTTTCCTCCCTTCTCCCCCGTTCCGCTTGCTTGCTTCTCAGCAACTTCACTCCCTTCTGCAGTGCGTGGCTTTCCAAGCTGTCTTCAGTCTTTGCTTTGGCCTGGATATGCAAATTAATCGTCATTTTTGGTGGGTTGACTTGCAAATTCACCATGATTGGCTGGTGGGTGTGTCTTGTGGGCATAGCGAAGGTATGGTCAATTTGCATGTTTCTCTTTTATTAGGTAGGATTAAATTTGATTTTTTTTTTTTTTTTTTTTTTTTTGGTTAGGTGATGATGAAGTCAATGCAGAAGAAGATGGGAAAACAAAAAAACATCAGAAAGATGATGAAGAACAAATCGCTAAATATAGGCAACTCTTGCAAGTTATTCAAGAAAAAGAAAATAAAAAAAAAGAAAATGATATGGAAATGGAAATTAAGTGGGTTCCAGGTAAGAATTCAATACTAACTAAATGTTGGCTTTATTTTTCTTCATTTTAGGATGTTGAGAGCATTTTATTTTTTTTATTTTTATTTATTTATTTATTTTTAATATATTTTATTGATTTTTTACAGAGAGGAAGGGAGAGAGATAGAGAGCTAGAAACATCAATGAGAGAGAAACATCGACCAGCTCCCTCCTGCACGCCCCCCACCGGGTATGTGCCCGCAACCAATGTACATGCCCTTGACCAGAATCGAACCAGGGACCCCTCAGTCCACAGACTGACGCTCCACCACTGAGCCAAACTGTTTTCGGCTTGAGAGCATTTTAGATGTGACAGAGAAAAAGATTAATTTCTCTTGGGAAGCATAAACTTTAAAAATCTTATTTTTTATGAATGTTTTGGGGAGGAAGTTAACATGGCATTTGCATACATCATTTAATTCTTAATTACTTAGGGACTAGTGTTTTGACTCTTGCCAGCTTATTTTGATTTTTCGAACTACAAATTATTCCTGTTTATTTGTGAAAGTAAACTTTCCTAGGTTTGATTCCAGTATTATCAGGATATAGAAACTTGAATCCAGGTACCATGTGTTCTGGAGTCATTAAACTTTTCCCTAGTTGGTTTGGCTCAATAGATAGAGTGTCCTCCTGTGGACTGAAGGGTCCCAGGTTCTATTCCAGTTAAGGGCACATGACTGAGTTATGGGCTCTATCCCCAGTAGGGGGCATGCAGGAGATAGCCTATCAATGATTCTCATCACTGATGTTTCTATCTCTCCCTCTCCCTTCCCCTCTGAAATCAATAAAAAATACTTTTAATAACTAAATGAAATCATTAAATTTTTATTAAAATAAACTTTTTTTCAAAATTTGTAAGTGGACTCTTCACCCATAACTCCAGTAGGCCTCAGTTAATTAGTTTAGGTTTCACTATTACAAAATATGAAATACTTAATTTTCCATCTCAGTTTTGCTGTGAATAGTAAAAATGTATGGTATAGTAAGTGATTTTTATAACTGCCTTGAACCATTCAACTTTTTTTTAGTGTAGTACAGTACTAATTATAACCATGTCAGAGCTAAACAAAGATAAAAGCTAGGATAAATGAGTATTGTTTTCTAGTGAATGCAGGTTTTCAACAGTCCTGGGTAAATCAGCATGTACCTTTGCAAACAATGTTGATTTTACAGATTACTGCTTTTACATACATGTGTATCTTTTTTTTTCTGAAAAAAGTATAACTTGTTATTCCCACCCTCCCCAGTGGAGGTGTGTTTACTATTGCCCCTCCTTTCCATACCCCAGGTCCTCAGGGTCTTGAGATAGAAAGAAGCGTTGAAAACATTCAGGCTTGAACTCAGAGTCCCTTGAGGACGACATTTCTCTCAAGAGGAAGCTCTTTGGATCTTATTTTTCTATTTCTGTTTCAGTTTCTCAGACCAGACCCCAAAAGCTAAAGTCTGATTGAGGTTGTGGGCAGATATTTGCATCTCTTACCCAATCCTATATAAAAAAAAAAAAAAAAAAAAAAAAAAAAAAAAGTATATTTCAAAATCCCAATTATAAACTAAGAAATGATTATTCACATTTCAAAGAATAACTAGTTTTATTTAAAAAAATTTTTTATGGCCTTGCTTTCTCATAATGTGCCTTAAAATTTTTTTGAAATAAACTATGTTTTTGCAAAATGAGATGCTCTCTTTATTAAATGAAAACCTAAGGTAATTTTAATTAGTTAGAAATGTCCCTCCCTCGTCTCCATCCAGACTCCCATTAATTTTCAGAAGATCTTGACTCACTGACCCTTTGTACACTACCGCACACTGTTTTACCAATAGTTAGAAGACAGGGTAGAGGGAAGAAAATAGAAGAGCAGTAGTTTAGTCAGTGACACAATGAATTGTTGAAATTTAAAGGAGCCAAATGTGTATCTTTTAAAGTTAGGTATAAAGGATTCAGCTCTTTCAGTCTCTAGATGGGAGAATACTAATAACACTATTAAAATTAAATATTCTGTATTCTTTTTCTTTTTTTTTCAGTTTCTTATAGTTAGTATATTTTTGCATTGAGAATGTGTGCATTCTTTTCATTTGGGAAAAAACTTAGCATATGTTTTAATGTTTGAGAATTGAGTGACATTTGTAAAAATATTAGGATGGATGTCTGCATAGTCCTGTAGGAAAGTGGTGCTGTGTTGTAACCCATTTGTTTTCCTTGTTTGGCTTTTGAAGGAAGTGATGGTAAGAAAAAATAAAGTTTGGTAGTATTATCATATGAACAATGGTTGAGAGAATTCAATTAAGTTAGCCTGAATAAGAAAAGCCTAAAAAATGACTTTAATTATTTTCAAATGATTGAGGGATGAATATGTAAATGGAGATTTAATCTCTCTTATCTCAGAAGTCATTGATTTTGCCAGTGGATAAAAGTTGAAGGAAAGTAGATTTCAAAGTAATATAAAGAGGAATTCGCTTTATTTTTAGAATTGCCCAGCAAAAGAGCACAAAGTCTACTCTAAGGAGTTGAGCACTTTGTCAGTAAGTCTCACAGTCAGCAATACAACCATACCGCTTGGGATGTTTGTGAAGAAATTTTTCACTTGACAGACTTGACTTAATTATCCTAAGAAATGTGGAATTCTACCTTTAAAATATGTTGTAATTATAACTTACCGTAATTCTAATCTTTGAATTTACTGAATGAAAAGATATTTTAAGTGAACAGCTTTTTAATTGAGGTATTTCGTTGACTGAGAAAGATTTAAAATTAACTTGATTGAGATGTTTTATAGCACTATTTCAGAGTTAAATTGAATGGACCAGATCTAACCTTTGTCTTTATTAACATGGTTATGTAGTGCAAATCCAAAAAGTGATATACTTAGGTCTCTAGCAATAGTTTTCCTGGGATAACCTCCCTTAGTCATGATGTATATATTTCTAGACTCAGTTTAGTAATGTTTTATTAAAGATTCTGCACCTGTGTTAATGAGGAATATTTGCCTGCAGTTTTCATTTCTTATAGAATTGTTAGTTTTTGATATCAGGATAATGCTGAATTCGTGATATGAATGATAAGAGCTGTCCTCCCTTCTATTTAATGTCATATAAGATGTTTTGAATTGTAAAAAAAAATTTATAATTCCATTAGCCTGATTCAGCCACTGAGTGATTAGATAGGTTATGGTTTAATTGATCATTTCTCTGTTGTTGAATATTTAATCATATTTCTGACCTTTCACTACAGTAGAACTATGGCATTGAAAAGAAATGTTACCTAAGGCCGTTACCGATTCCAAACCCACAAATATCAGTTCTTTCTTAGATCTCTTCACTTTCATTACCAGCCAAATAATTGGCTTACTATTTTAGGGATTTTTACTTTTAAAAACAATTTTTTAACAAAGACGCTTTTCTTTTTCTCCCCTGTTTTAAAAATGCCTCTGCTTAGAGAACTAGTAGAGACCACAAAGAGAAGCTAATGCTGGCAGTCAGGCTCACTTACTAGTTAGTTATGTGACTTCCTTGCTCACATAGCAACTTTGCATATGCTGTGGATCAACCTGTGGTTCTCTCACAAGCTGTTAAAACTACCAGTGTCAAAACTCAAAATTTTAAATCTCAGATGCCAACCATCTAAGATGTTATAAATAATCTATAGCTTTTTCCGTATTTTGAAGTATTTTCATAGGAAACCTTCCCAGAAATGGAATTGGATTGTACCAGTTTATAAAGCCTTCAACAATGAGTAAAAGTGCCAATTCCATGGAATTGTCATCAACATTGTGTATATAATTTTTACTGTTAGATGAATGGGGGGAAATTGATGTTCTGCTGTACACTGCATTTTTAAGTCTTTAACTGGAATACTTGTGTGTTGTTTTAATCCTTGGACCCAAGGACATGCTCATTGATTTTAGAGAAGGGGAAAAGGAGGGTGAGGGGAGGGAGGGAGGAAGGAAGAGAGAAGTCGATGTGAGAAACATCCATCTCTTGCCTCCCATATCAGAAATTGAACCTGCCACCCAGATATGTGCTCTGACCAGGAATTGAACCCCAACCTTTTGGTGTACAATATGATGCTCCAACCAATTGAGCCACACCAGCCTGCGCTAACTGTAGTATTTTTGAAGGCTCCGTATAGGGTATTATTGTTACCTGTGAGTCCTTGGTATGTACTTACATGCATCTGTGTTTGTAAATGTAAAGGGTCTGTTACATATTAGACTTGTTAGTTGAGATAAATGAGCTAATCTTGCAGGACCTCAGTTTACTTATTTGGAAAGTGGGACTAATACCTTTCTTAATTTGAGTATTTAGAAAGGTTCCTTATAAGCTACAGAGTATTATTCACATCATATGTATATTTTGTTGGAATTATATCTCAAGAAATGCATGTTCCCAGTAATACCGTAATTACCGTGAACCTCAACAACTTTTTTGTGATGTTACACTTCAGTAAGTCACACAATGTTAGTGTGAGATTACACTGTATCGTTTAACTGTTTTTTCTAAAGCTTGAATTTCCAAAATATTAAACTCTTCAGAAAAATAAGTACTCTTAATCACTAACACTTGCTGAAATATAGTTTGTTGGTTTGGTTTTTAAGAGGAATTTTAGTTTAGCCAGGGGTGGGGAACCATTTTTCTGCCAAGGGCCATTTGGATATTATTATAACATCACTTGTGGGCCATACAAAATTATCAACTAAAAAATTAGCCTGCTATATTTGCTCAAACATTTAACTCGCCTCAAGTGCCTTGGCAGGACCTGACCAAATGATTTAAGGGCCTTATAGTTGTATAGCCTATCTTTTTACAATACATTAGGCTATATAAGTATAGTAACGTCAGAAGTTTCATTCCTTAAGGTTAAATATTCAGATAACAGGTATATGGGTATAACAACCAGAATGAAGTACAGTACTCTTTCTATTGATAGTCTAGTTATGAAAATGTGGCAATACAACCTTATTGATTGGGATTGTAAATAAGTAATA